AATTGCATAGCCGGATGGAGACCCTCCTGATACCCACATCCGCCGACACCCCGCGCTTTGCTCTTTTCCACTCTTCATGCCCCCATCGCTAGCTCCACATCGTTCCGGAGGCTGATCAGTGGCTCCTGGATATCCACCGAATCCGGGAACACTCCCTAATCCATATTTGCAAAATGGAAAGGGAGAAAAGCTTTAAGTACCAATTGCGGATCCGCTTATTTGGAAAAGCAATCGAGGGCTTGCTTTTAATTTAATCGGTTCCCTTCTGCGAGGAAATTGTTTCCAAGTCACCCCTGAGGACTTCAGATTGACTTACTCCTAATAATTAATTTATCCCACGACATTGTTCGCCATGTTTTCCACCCGCGGGTGGCATGCCCTAGCGCTTGCTCTGGCAGCTCTGCCTCTCGTCCAAGCAGACATCTGCTCAACCCTCGAAAATGCCGGCATTGATATCGAATACCCGATCTCGATCAACTACAATGCCGATTTGACCAAGTACTGGTCAGCAGCATGTGGTGACCTGAAGCCGACATGTATTGCGGCACCCTCCAGTGCGGCCGAGATGTCCCAGGTGATCAAAGAACTTCACGACGTCGACACTCTATTCGCAGTTAAGTCGGGCGGTCATATGCCCAACAATGGATTCGCAAGTATTCAAGACGGACTCCTGGTTTCTACCAAAAACCTGGACCAGGTATTTTACAACCACGAGGATAAAACCGCAGTTATCGGTCCTGGTTTGGCTTGGGAAGAAGCTCAGAAGGGCTTGGATGATGCTGTTGGCGGACGTGCGGTGGTGGGTGGTAGACTTGGAGGCGTTGGGATCGGAGGGTATATGCTCGGATGTAAGCTTTTGAGTGTTGAGTTTATGCGACATTGCAACCCAATCGCTAACTTTAACAGGTGGAATGAGTTTCCTGAGCACACAGTATGGCTGGGCAGCCAACAACGTGAAGAATTTCGAGGTCGTGCTGGCCAATGGCACTATTGTCAATGCCAATGAGAAGGAAAACACAGGTGAGTTTAACCAATATTCTTGTCAACTCGCCGCCACGGCAAAATACTGATTCGACCGTTCAGACCTGTTCGCCTCATTGAAGGGCGGCGGTAACAACTTTGGCGTTGTCACTGCGTACACCATGCAAACTCACCCCCAAGAGCACAAAGTTTGGGGTGGTAACTATGTATTCACGGCCGACAAGACCCCCCAGGTCCTCTCGGCTTTGCGCAACTTTGTCGACGAATACCCCGATGACAAGGCAGCTATTATTCTGACTTCCGAGCACGGCGCACTCATTGATTTCTGGATCATGTTCCTTTTCTACGATGGACCCGAACCTCCTGCGGGCGTCTTTGACGAGTTTACCGCCATTGATCACACCTCGACCACCAAGACCTGGGACACATACTACGATCTGCTCAAGAACAACGACTTCTTTATCCTGCAGTAAGTTCCATATAATACACTATAAAATTCAAATGCTAACAGATATAGCGGCCAACGCTACACTATTGCCACAGAGACAACCCCGGTCCCCAACAAGACTGTCGGATCTGAAGTGCTGCAGGAGTACTACGACCACTGGTACAATGTCACGGAGGACGTCCTCGGCGTGACCGGTGTCCTAGGCTCCATCGCCTTCCAGCCCGTCCCCAAGACCTTTTCTCAGAAAGCCAAGGACCGCGGCGGCGACCTGCTTAACGTTCCTACGGACCAAAACTATATTTTCATTGAGCTTGACTTCTCTTACGCACTCTCCGTCGATGATGACAAGATCGATCAAGCCAACCAGAAGCTCTACCAGGGTATGGGTAACCTTGTTCAGAAGAACATTGACAAAGGCCTCCTGCCTGATGTTTATCGCCCGCTCTTCATGAACGATGCGTATTTCCGCCAGGACTATTGGGGCCGTATTGACCCTGACTCGAAGAAGGAGGCCCTTGCGACACGTCTGCGATATGACCCTGATGGCTTCTTCCAGAAGCGGACGAGTGGTGGATGGAGATTGAACGAGTAAGCGTCTTTGGATATTTTCTCTTAGAAAAGACTTGAAGAATTGGCGACTTTGGCGCCGTGGTTGGAGATATTTATTGTTCATAATATTTTGAACTAATTTTGAATGAAAATTAATGACCAACATATCGATATTGACCGACCGGAGTGCCTATAGTATACTGTGACTTAGCTTGGAGACAAAAGGACTCAGTGTACAATCCATTGACACCTAGCGAATCCTTTGACATTGCCTGCGTAAGTTCTCATTGTTGGGCTGACGAGGCGCCATCCATTGTACCTCGACAGTTGTCATTCCCAACATTTATCGGGATGACATTATTCAGGAAAAGGATCTGCGCGATGAGTCAAAGCGCCCACGGGTAGGCTATGCACAAGTTCAAGAAGAAGGCGAGATTCTCATCGGGCATGGCAAGGTATATGAATAGCGCAGCAGCCACCAGTAGCGCGCCAAAGACACTGTTTCCCAAGGGTGTTCCAAGTCCACTGTGGCTGCCAACGTACATGAAACATGATCGTCCTCGCATCAACCTCCTAGTAGGATGCAAGCTCGTACCTGACTTATTTGTGTAGCCGCCTGCGTCAGAAATGCCAACGCCAGGGGAACGAGTGGCTGTGGCGTCTTCGTCGGAATTAGGGTTTCCCTTCCAAGCGCCCGCGGTGGAGCCAACTATTGGCGGCGCGATCGCTCCCACAAAATCCCCGACCACTTATTTTCAACATGACCAAGATCTGCGTTAAAAAAAAAAGCAGAGGCTCTTGCAGCTAGAGCTGTCATTTCTGCAAAGCGCCTGCTTAGGAGAGGCTGGAGCTTTGGCCATGATGTTGATGCTGGGCCACCCGGACGCAGACGCTTTGATTGGTTCGTTGTCGGCGCTTGGGGTCTAACAAGATCATCTCTGATACCGATGATATGGGACTATGATTCATTTTCTGGGGATGGGTCTAGATCTTGGACCACGTTTTGAGTGCTGCTAAATTTGTCCGGTCTAGATCGTGCCTCTTTTCCTTCAGGGCTGTTAGAGATGGTTTGAGTTCTTTGATCTGGTGTATATAAGTTGTCTCAGCCCACCTCTTTCAGAATTTCACTTCCATTCTTCAATCTGCATCATTAATTATTCACTTTTCTTTGTTGGCTTCTGGTCTAGACTTTTCCACACACTCCTTGACATCTCATTCTCATTCTGCAAGCGGTTTCTTGCTTCATACATTCGCAGTCCGTTATAATAACTGCTCCATTCCCTGTTTTACTACGACTGTGTCAACCTTGCTTTCTTCTTAATTCCCAGACATCTTCAATCGCTTTCTTTGAACATTCATTTCGAATTTCCTTGACATAACCTTCAAAATGGGCGGTCGTTACGGAGCTCTCGGCGCTACATTCCAACTCGCCCGGCTCTTTCAATTTTGCTCGCTGATCGCGATAATCGGCATGACAGCCAAATTCATTTCTTCCATCGTTTCGAACAACGCAACTCCGCCCAATATTCTTATCGGAACTATCTCAGTGGTATGATTGCAATCGATCTCATAACTGCACCAAGCCAGATACTAACAGAATCCAGACAACTATCGCAGCCGTCTACTGCATCATCTCAGCAATTCTCTTTGTCGACAACATCCTACCCTTCCTTGCCAGCGCAGTCGCGGACTTTGCCGTTCTAATTGCCCTCATCGTGGTGGCTGTTGTAATGGGCAAGCCATTGTCCTACTTGAAGTGCAACACACTTGCGGAGCTGGGATACAAGGACGCGACCGTGTATGCATTTTCGTCAAAGCTGTCTAGCTACATCGCTACGATCAACGGAAAAATCGGCTACTCTTCTTGGATCGGCGCGTCAAAGGCAATTTGCATCGAGACAAAGGCTATTTGGGGGTTGAGCATTGCTCTTTGGTGAGTTCACACGCGTCTATGATAACACGCCTTACACCAGATTCGAGTATATTTCTGACTGTAGCAGTATTTTGTTTTTCTTTTCGTCTATCTGCAGCGTTTGCTTGTGGCGCCAGAAGAAGGCTATGATGGAGCTCGATGATAAATGATTCGTTGAATCGATCTGGATGTACTGTTACCAGGTGTCGCAGTGACGAAAGAGTGTCGATGCAATGGGCGGATCGGAGAGCTCGATGTAATGATGGGGCTTATGAGGAGGAAGGTGCATTGAATTGGGGGATATCTTGCCTTTCTTTTTTACTTTGCGCATTGCTCTAATGATCTGATTTCTGGCGCTTGGAGTTCATTTCTTTCAGAAAATGTCAAGAAATACTGCCAGCTTACTCTCGCTAAATATACTACTCATACTGGCAAATAACAGTGACGGCTTTTCTTATATAGTACCAGCAGACGTCTTCTGGAACATGAATCCATGGATGTATTACAAACTATACCGAATGTGTCAGTTTTGTAAACAACAGAGTGTATTCCATCCTTGAAACGTCATCATGTCAAAATAAGCAAAGATATTCCTCGGTCGATCTTTGGTGACTGATACTCGTGGGGCTACAGCGGTTTACAGCAGTATAGTATGTACATAGCGATGTACGGTGTACATATGTACTCGTATGTACTATCATGGATCCCTTGACGTCAGAAAACCCACATCACATATATAGTGTCGATTCTTGTACTACAAGTAGTTACTCGATCACCCTACCTTTTTCCTTGGTTACGCTGGTAACGGCTTCACAACTCACAAACATCAAGGTCAGTTCGTCGCGTCAAGCGTGTCGAATTTTACTACTATAGACTCATCTGCATATAGCGGCACTTCTTCTCTATATAAGTATGGTCAGGAAGCTGGAGAAGAGCCATGATTAGTTATGAACCATTCCCACCTGTCATCGGCGAAGCAGAGACGCTAAACTCCCCCACCACATAAGAACTTGACGAAAAAGACTTCTTAGCCTCCTTCAAGTTGTTTTTTCCCTTAAGCTCCGCCACATCCTTCTCGTTTCATTTCATTAGGAATATATCACCTTCAAAATGATCATCTACCGTGTATGTTCACCCATCCCCAGAAGTTCCACCCTCTCTGCCATGTCCGAACATCGACACAACTAGGCCGCTAACTACCCCGCAGGACATTGTTTCCGTGACGAGCTTCTCTCGGAAATGTTCAAGATCAACCCAGCCAAGGATTGTCCCATTCTATGGGAGGTGGAATGCAAGAAGTACGTCAAGAAGGCCAACGAGGAGTTGCCGCTCAATGGTGATGAGGAAGACGGCGAGGGCGAAGCCGTTATGGTCTACGACATCGAGGACCAGTCCGGTCTCAACCAGTTGAGCAAGCCTTCCAAGGAGGATTTCAAGGGCCACTTGAAGAGTTAGTACCCTGTTCAATCCACGATGATATCCTCCCAGCTAACGCCATCTGCCTTCCTTCTAGAGTGTGCCAGGAATGTCATGAGTAATCTGCTCGCAGGTGGTGCCACTTCCGACACACTTGATAAATTCAAGAGTGGTGCTTCTGCCGCGATGGAGAAGATCAGCGCCAACTACGACAACTCCGAGGTCTTTATGGGCCGGGATATGAACGATGCTGCGATGTAAGTTGCTTGCAATTGCCGGCCTTTAAACATAGACGTACTGATTGAGATGACTAGGCACGTTTTAATCACCTTGCGCGAGGATGGTGTCACCCCCTTTGCTACCCTCTGGAAACACGGTCTTAAAGGGATCGCGATCTAAGTCTTGACACACTCCGGCGAGTAATAAAAGGCACTTGGCATGAAGAAACTATGAAGAATTACGAGACTTTGTATCCATTTTTACTTCAAAACGCGAAATTGTTTCGTTCTCTCGCGCAAGGCCTTTTGTTTCCCTTTTCTGTCGCATCTTCATATCCTGATTGACTGGTACTTGACCGCTAAGAGTTATGCCTCATGAATCGACAAACTGTCACGCCTTTTCTCAGTTCAACCTCCTGGAGACTATTAATTTCTACTAGATTTTTGTCCTTCTACATATTCTAGATATGCACGACACGGTATAAAATAATAACTTCGAATTAGGTATTGCTAATATGCCAGTAATCCACGACCCAAACGCCTATGGAGCCTTAAAACCCATCCTATGCACATCCTTAAATAAATTGTCTTGATCCGGAGTAATCCTATTTGACAAGCGCAGCATGTTATGATGATTGGAAATCGAGATTTGGAATACCACATGAGACTCGGCTGTGGCGCAGCAGCAGAAGGGCTCGGATTTGAGTGAATGTGGGAGCGGGTCATGTTGTAAAACATCCGATTGAAGTCATTTACTAGCGGCAGTAAACTGGCACGTGGATGTCGATGTGGCCGGCAACCCAGTAGCCGATGAAGAACCCGGATTGAACGAACCACAGGCTAAGGAAGGATAAGCCTGAGCTCTCAGGTATAACGTTTCAACATAGTTTACCCTGCTCAAGTTCTTCCCCGACTTGCAATGAACCTTATCGAAAACGATGTTACTCACCACGAAGATGCTGGTTACATAACCCATCTCTCGCTCTTGTATGGGTGCACCCAGGAGATATGCAATTTATGCTCTCAGGCCACATCTCTTTCGCATGTTGATAACATAATTTTTTTTCTCCAGGCGCTTTTGTCGCATCCAGTGGTCGTGCAAACCTTTGACGAGACTTTTGAACGAGCCCGATTTCCAAAATGCCTCTCACATAATCCATTCTTCCATTTTCTAACTATGCAGCCAGGGATTGTACAACACATGCTACCAGGCCACATTTCTATTGCATGCTGATAACATAAAGTTTTTGTTTGGGCCTTTTTTTCACACCCAGTGGTCGCGCAAACCTTTTGGAATCTTGAACGACTTTGGCCCGGATTTTTTAAGAGCCAATGGCGGTCGCATAATCCCTGTTTCCTCTTTCGATTCAAGCATCCTGGGGAATAGCAAGCCAGTCGTGTGCCAAAAAATTTGCTGCTCGCAGCGCCAACTAGGTCTTTCCGCTTTATATGCCAGGCGCAATATAAGTTTTTTGACCACCTAGAGTGAGAGCAACCATCAAACGAACAAATCATATGATGAGGGTTTAATTCGTTCCAGTGGGACACGCAGTATAGACCCTTTCTTTTCTGCGCAATACACCCAGCAGACTCGCAGATACGGCGCCGAGAATGACTCTCATATGGATTCTCTCCACCCGCATGCCATGTACAGAGTAAGGAGCCGGAATCTTTCTTATTAATACATCCAGGGAACTTGCAATCCAGCTCCTCATTATCCGGCTCGCAACCATTTGCCTGCGTCCAGTGGTCAAAACAATAGCCTTCTACTATGCTCTGCGAGGTACATCCGAAGTCTTTGCACAAAGTCGGTATCTCCTGTGCCTTGTGATATTCGCAATCGCGGCCATCCACCATGCGCTCTGCGCACCCTAGTATAGTGCAGGTTTGTAGGAATCCCTGTCCCTGTGGGAAAATGTAAGTCTCAGGCTGGGTCTCAGGAACCGGAGGCTGATTGTTTGTCCCCAAATCCAGAGCCCTATCCCTGGCCTCCAAGTCTAGAACTGTCTGGTTGAAGTCGACTTCCATGGCTGTATCATCGATCATCAAGTCTACACTGGGAACTGCCGGTGTACGATCAACATCCATCAACGTATCGTCGAGATCCGGAAATATATCCTCAAGACCCGCAAATGTATCGTCGACATCCATCTCTGTATCGTCGACACTGGCATACACAGCTGTAGTATTCTCAGCCTCCACAAATGTATCGTCAAACCTCATATCAATAGCCCCATCATCTAACCCGCCCTGATTCACGTCATCGCTTTGGTTGTGTGTGAAATTTGGGCTGTTATGATCACTCTGGCTCTGACGGTCTGGAGATGCATTGGTGGTCATTCTCCAGTTCGCGACTTCATTTTCAACCTCCCAGTCGGAAACACCAGTTTCGAATGGCATATCTAACATCGCAAGCTCCTGCTGATGCTGAGCATTACTGCGGCTTGGGAGCCCACTCTGGCCATCTTGAGATGGATTAGTGGGAATTCTCCAGTCCGCAAAGGCATTGTTGTCTTCCCAGTCCATGACGACCCCAGTATCCAAATGCCACTCCATCTGATCTTCTTCAGTATTTTGGTTCGACATACCTGTGGATACTATGTAGCCAGGTCTTAATAGAAATCTGATAACAAATACTTGGACTTAGAATAAATTGAAATTCGGAATGAAGTACGATGGATTTTATACATGTCCCTCGACCTCGTCTGAGGTGGCTCAACGTAGAATTCGCGAATATGAAACGAAGTATGATAGACAGTACTCGTATAATAATGAAGCATTGCGGCTACCCTAAATCTCTTTGTATTCAAAACAGGGCATTGTTCGAGTAGCCTCGATTCATATAAACAAAGAGCTACCTGATACTTACGCGATTGGGTCTGTATATCAATAAATATAGAACTCATTGTGACATTTTGTGAAAGAGTCTAAGTCATAATCTTATTGTTTGCCTCAATGAACTCTTTATCAAATGAATAGATATTGAAGAAACAGATCCTGAAGTGCGGTAGAAGAGCAGCGTGAGACAGAACCTTTCTCTTTAGTCCGTAATTTACGATCTGAAGATTTGGACTCGAGGACTCGGAGCAGAAAGGAAAGCCGAGGACTCCACTAAGTTATTTACAGGCTTATAAGCCACATTGTGGAATTTGAAAGACATTGATATCATTCAAAATTAATTAAGGGAGCTGGATTAGTGATAAGGAAGTAGTCTACCATCTACTTCAGGTTGATCCTTACTTGAGCTGTTACCCAGTCTACACCTTTCAGCTATCCACAACGTGGAAATTAACAAACAAGTATGGACGTACAAAGTATGACGCAAATGGCTACCTGAAACAGGCTCATGAGAAATAGAGCTCATAATCTGCTTTCATTATTGAAAAGGAAGTCAATGAGAAGTAACAGTGTTAATCCGGGGATCTCTGGTATGAGACTCCAGGCCAAGTATCACTTGGTTTCGATATAACTCAGGTTCTTCCCAATTGCTTGCCGAATATCAAACAGTTTACCATTCTGTTTGGACAAAGGAATTGCATTGTTATTTTGAGTTTGAGCGAAACGCCCGAAAGAATCAGAAAAGCTGTGACAGCCGCTGCGGGTACTGCTTTGTTTAAAATATAATAAGACTTGTAGTCATTGAGACAATTTCCTCGAAAAAAACTTTTACCAAAGTAGTAAAGAGCATAGAAGATAGAATAAATGAAACCAGATATCCATGCATACAATAAAGCAAAAAGCCGCAACAAGGCCCCATTGTGATTCTCATCAAGACAATAAGCAATCTCCATCTCTTTCCAATCCAAAAATATATCACAGTCGGTTACTCGACACATGCCATCGAGAATTATCTATAAAATAGACTGAGATCGCTTTCCCAAACAGAAATATTTTCACCATCAGCCCAGAGCTTGACTGATTCGGAGATAAAAAGGCAATCAGATCGTCTTAGCCATGGAGAGTCACAAGCTTCAAACCATGGCGCATCAAGGCTGGACAGCGTTTGGTTCAAGTTCCAACAATCCGATACTGGTCTCCGACGATAAGACCGAAGAAGCACGATCGGAGAGCACCAAGTGCAGATATTTCACATGCACTAGGGCTAAACGCCTGGATGGATACTGCACTCGACATTGGAAAATAGTAACCCCCCTTCTGAACTATCCTATCGAGATACTTTGTGAATTTCCTGGATGCTCGAAAGCGAAGAAGAGGGCTGGCATGTGTACGGAGCACTGGGGTGAACAAAATCCTGAAAAGAAGAAATTCTGTCGGGCCACTGGCTGCCCTAGTAGTATATAAAAAGATGGGTTTTGTGCCTTACATTATAGTGAGGCAAACCCGGAATTGAAAAAATCACATCCTTGTGAATTTGAGGGTTGTACTAAAAACCGATATCATCTAACCTTTTGCGCGGAACATATCAAACAGGTGCATCCGGATTACCGAATACCGAAACGTATACGTCAATGTAAGTCTCTCGGTTGTACCATGCAATACGTGAAAGAGGAACTATGCAAAAATCACTGGAGAGCACTACATCCTGGTGAGATTTTATATTGTGAGTTCTCTAGTTGCCAGAGTTTTAGTATTAAACAGGGGCTTTGCCGGTTGCGTGCCACAGAGGAAAACCTCGAGGGATTGGTAGAATACCGAAACAAAAGCAGCGAAACTTGCCAGTTTGGCAATTGCAAACAGAAACGCTGCAGGGGCACATTCTGTTGTCGTCATTGGAAAAAGTCCTTCCCTGAGTTGGTTCCTTTAGATACCTGCGAGAATGCCAATTGTCTTTACAAACAATACGACGAGGGCTTATGCCTTCAACACTGGGAAGAATTGACAAAAGCGACTCAACCTTCAACATCTCCGCAGTCCTGCAATTATGCAGATTGCATCTACCCATGCTATATGGAAGGCTGTTGCATTCATCACTGGAGGATTCATCACTGGAGGATTGATGTAACGGAACGCACTGGCGAGACCCCATCTGCAAACCCGATTTCCGCTGTCTCCGGTCTAGCCATTATTCCCTGCAATGCATCTGAATGTCCTCGCCAGGAACTTAAGGACGGACTTTGCGAGTTTCATCTCATGCTCAATTAGATCTAGTTCCTGTTTGAAACTTGCATTTTCAACTCTTTAATGGTGATTTAGCTCAACATGACGAGCATATAGTATGAACTTCTGGGTTTGGTGGAAATTTGCGATGTGATAAAGTGAGGTTTTTTTAATGGATTAATTAGTTTCTGTCGTTGATTTCTCTGCGCATGAATAAAATATGACCTTGTCACAAAATTTTCGTATTGGGATTTTTGTAGTGGCCTTTGAAAGTTGCATTGCATTACTGCAAGTAGTCGAATATAAATCATGAAATTGATTATAACATAAAGAAAGTAATGACAGAAATCACCTACTAGAGACGATTACCAAGGCTTGTTAGGAGTCTTCAAGATGTGTTATGCATCTGCATAGATATTTATACATAACCAGCTAGCCGCTTGTGAGCTCTGGATTTGAATTTGAATTTTTTTTTTAGATTTATGCCACCTAAGTAGTGGGATACATGACAGAAGAAGGTCAGTGTCCTTGGAAAAGTGAGATAACTGGCAATGCGAAGCGGCTTCACGCAGAGATATGGTAAACCGGTACGTGCAAATAATCGACAAAGCCTTTTTTTTCTGATCCAGATATGCTTACATAATAAACTTGGGCTAATTTAAATAGTATTCATTTACTTACACAAACAATGGCTTTCTTGATGAATGGAATTGTAATATTTGAAAGAACTCATCGCAGCGAGGTCAAAGGAATAATTACTCCATAGAAGGGAATCCGATTTTCTCAACCACGAGCCCAAAGCCTCGGCTCAAAGGCATTGTTTTTATTCTTGTGGTTTTTTTTGGTGTTTTATGCCAAGCTAAAATTGTGCCTACCTCCTTCTATAAATATGGTTCCACTTCATTGGGACAACTTAAATAATCCTGCATGCTGAAAACACTTTTGCATACAATTCGCAAACTCATAAATTCAACATGTCCGGTATTGATATGAACCATTATGGGCTCTACCTGGCCTTCAGCGGAAGATCTGACCAGGCGAATGTCCATTGGATGATTCTTCTAGCTCATCCCGGTGCAGATAGATGCATGAGATTCCATTGCGAAGGTAGCCCTGCTCTTCGGGAGTATGTTTCAGAATCGGATACTCCATTCAACGGGCTCAGGGACAGCGCTTACCGAAGAATCGACAGAAAGGATCTGATTTGCCGTATTCCGATAGAGGCTTTCGATGTGGTTGTTAAACAGGCCGAAGCTACACCCCTACAAAGCTCCGCATTCTGGGTCTTATATCTTTTGTTTCGACTTGAGCGAAAGGGACTCGTACCGGAAGGAACATACACTGATTGGATGACCTATTATCTAACACAGAACGGGGATGACAAGGAAAACATTGATGCAGAGGATCAGGGGCCTGGTAACCTTTGGCTTGAAGAGGAGTAATTGACTACATTTCAAGATCTCTATTTTCTTTTATTCATTTACATTTTCTGTTGAACCGAGGACAAATTTGATTGATAATTTAATTATACATTGAACACAATTTCTATTTGTGTGGTTAGCGGCGAGAAAGAGCGTAGCTTTTTATACTGTAACTGTAGTCTTTTCTGATCATAATGCTTGATTTTCAAAATTCGGCATTCTTCTCAACCCTTATCTCAGCATACTTTCTCAGAAGCCATTGCAAAGTTAGAAGCAACACAGAAGTTAGCAACAGATAACTGTGTATATGATACGCTGTGAGGAGGGCGAGTTGGATATATCATAAATGGCCGGGTTGGAGAAATGGACACAAGTTCACTAATTAAAATCCGCATTTGTTTGAGGAGATTTGCAGTTCTCGCCTGGGAACTGCTTTAATTTTTACTGGGCGATTCATCTGATTTTAATCGATCTCGGGGCCGACCCACGACATCACGGATATCGCAATGAATCGCTAGAAAGGTTCGCTTTAGGTTAGTACGATTCCAAGGATTCCGTGAGAATTAAAACAGCATTACTCCTAAGCAAAACTGTTAAAATCTTCTCAGCCTTAAAAGAGTAGACAAGCGCCTAGAAGAATAATAATGTCCGACGACTGTTATCGTTCTGCTTGAATAAAAACCATTTCATGGCCACTATAGAGTCACGGTTACGAAATTCTAGAATAAATTTAGATACTATTGAGCAATCTTGATACACAAGCTTGGAGTTGGCCTCTGGCAGGTACGGATACAGGCAAACTTTCTGATCATTCCTGTGTTTTCCTATCTCGGAGTTACACTAAAACGTTCAAGTTCCTGCCGGCAAAAGGCGACCCATAGCTGCCAACTATCTAACGCTGAAAATCCGCATCTATTGTGCCTTCCAGGGGTTGGTTTTGCTTTTGGATCTTTGTCGTGTTACTCGAGTTCCAAGATTCTTGTTGTTTATTTGAGACAATAAACGTTGTTCTCCCAAAGGAGTAACATTCAAAGAAGCTGAAACAAGTGATTGATCTCTATCCGTCAGCCTCAAACTTATTGTCTTATTTCTGAACAAATGGGAATGTATTGCATTGTTTTCATGAGGGTCATATCGAGGATGGCCTATATGAAGCATCGGATATTCCCAGTGGTTAGGTTTTGATATCATCAAACAACCTCATTAGCAGCACACCCACCATCATATTTATCATTTGCTATATACCATATCTATCATCACCTACTCTGCATAATCATTCATCATGTCTCAGGTCGATGTGACACACTATGACATTTATGTCGCGTTTGGTAGGAAGCAGTTTCTTTGCGACCCCATTCATTCACTGATTCTCATGAGCCATCCAGGGGCGGAGCGATGCACTCGGCTACATTGCGAGGGCTGGCCAGGATACTGGAAGCCTGCAATTGAATACAATAAGCGATTTCAGAGCTGGTGGATTGAGAGTAAGGTCCTTGTCGCCCAGATTCCAGCTTCAGCGGGGTCTATTGTCGAGCAAGAGGCTAGGAAAATTCCAGCGCAGAGTTCTGGTCTTTGGGCTTCGTATCTGCTTCTCAGGCTTGAGAAGAAGGGGTTGATTCCGGAGGGAATGTATGAGCACTGGAGGGATCAACTTCACATCCCTGCCACCGATGAGGATGTGGGACCTAGTAACTGCTTATGAAGCTAGGGCCGAGGGATGTGGTCCTCGGGGGATCCGATTATGTGAGTTGCCAAGCAATACTTAGTTTCATAAAATATCATGCATCTCTACTATTTCCTCCCAAATTTTTGGCAGCGAGCTATAACGAGTCTGTGATCAAGAAAAAGAAATTACATTTCCATTTAACTTCCTTCGTAGTTCCCGTGTAATCCGATTCCGCTCCAAAGGAGTGACTCTATCTTGTAAATGACACCCATGAATTTTGATGAACAGATAGAAACTCGAGATTCTGTCCATATTTCGCTACCGTACAACTGAGTTATTATGCTTAGACAGATCATAGGTAGTTCGGTGAGAAGGAAATTATGTGTTATGTACGCAACCTACTGATGGGTCACCAAGAGCCAAACTACTTCCAGATTCCAACTTCCTCTCCCCAATAAATGCTGTGCAAATTAAATGAGCCCCCACATTAATGGACGTAGTATTGGGAGCGTTTGCGTCGGGGAAGTGTCAACCTGATGGATATTCCTGTGGCTTTCTGCTGGCGATGATAAACTTCACTGATCATCCTTGATTGGAATTGAGTAAGACAAAGAGCAGAGAGCTGTCCAAGATTCAGAGGGTTCCGCGAGATCCGGGGATGAAAACGCCTTAATGAACTAAAGTATGCTATTCAGTCCGCGGACTTGAAAGACCCTTTGATCGGTTCCCTCCGTGGCCAAGAGAATCCTACGTTAAAACTCGATAGTGGCCAAATCCGATCCACTTGCACCACGCTAAACATCTTTCTTGGTAGTCTTAGCGAGTCGGAACATGAAGCTAGAGAAGCTAGAGAGCCAGAATTTCCTGGGCCATACGACCCTAGAAATCCAGATCTAACCAGACTTGGTACTAGGGGCATCGGGCGATCCTCTGGTTTGTAGATTTGACCCTGCCAAGCCGGAGTGGGTGGCAGTTCACCGTTTAGCGAGCGCAGTGGAGATTGCAGTTTTAGCCTCATTCGAACGGCCCCAAATCTTAGGCTGCCCTCTGCCCTGCAAACGGCGGAAGCCAAGGAGGTCAGTGTGTGTTTATAATGGATCACTTCTGTCTAATCGATTTTGAAAAAGGCGTTTCGCTCCATTCTTCTCCCCTTGGATTGCAACCATGACTGGATTGAACGCCTCCGTCTCTGCGGGTTGGTATACCTTCTCCAATCTTGGCCCTATCACAACGACCTTCACTCCAGCTCCGAGCTGTAGTGCATCTGGGCGTATGATGCTTGGTTACCTGGTTCAAGATGGAAATTATTTGAACCTCAAGTATGGTGCAGAGCCCACCCCTCGGATGAAGTTCGACGGCTGTATGCCATCTTCCTCGCCGACACCCACCGCCACGCCTGAGACAACCATTCACCATCTTTCCGAAGAACAAAAATCTGCTTTTGCAGCTCAATATGTGGACTGGGTGAACGAGGGATTCTACTACTCCCCTGGCCTGCACTGCCCTTCAGACTGGGAGACGATTGGCTTGGTAGCCCGCGACGCCAGCAGCTCGCTCAGTTCATCGGGCATCTATGTCGCTACCACCACCACGACTGTCGACACAAAGGATGACTACTATTACTACATGAGTGACTACGAGTATCCTGCATCCGTGCTGAAGGGTATCTTGGAAGCTAAGGAGACAATGGTAGCATGCTGTCCAAGGTAAATCCATATCTATCTATCTGGGTAAAAAGCAACAGAATACTGGTGAAATTGCTAGCTAACATGTCTCCCAGTGGCATGACTGCCGACAAAGGTGGCTTTTGCTACTCCGAAATCGAGGGCTATAAAGCTACTGTTGGTTACCAGGTCGGCGTAGGAAGGAACTACGAATACGGATCGACTACAGAGACCTTCACCTTGACGCGGCACGGTTCCGCAGTTCTTGAAACTGAATATCTTATGTACGAGACAGCGACAACAGCCCATACAGATACATATACGGAAAGTTTTGGCCGCGCCGAGAGGTCTCTCTACAGCGCGTTTTCTTACGCGCCTGTGATTACGATGCTGCATCACGAGTCCGATTTGAAGTCTGCAACTGCAACTGCGACCGCGACCGCAACGGCCGCCGCCACGACTACCTCCAATGCTGCTGGCAGGATTTCTGCTCGCGCATCGGTCTGGAATGGGCTTAGCTATGTATTCGGAATCTCGGCGGTTACTGCTGCGTTGGGGGCTGCTATGATCTTGCCCTGGTAAATATTACGATCCTTATATATCTGGGCATCAAAATAGATAGATCGGCCAACTCTAGACTACAATTTACCCTTTTTACTCGACGAAATTAATGAGGCATTTCTGAACACCAAGAACTTGAACGACTAAAACCGTCAGTTTCTCGTAGACGTTGAGGGCAAACGCGAGATTAAGTACGGTACTTTCGGAAATCGGTATCACCGCCCAAACTCTTTCACTCTTCGTAAAACCTTGGCGCCGAGTCCTACTGTACTGTGTATATTAAGAGTAGCCACTGAATATTAGTACCTCTGTATTATTAATATGCAGTATTTTACACCAAACAATACATTCCATCATGTTTCATCGTACGGGTAATTTTGCTTGAATAAGAAGGAATTTTAGAATGCTAAAAGGACATATCGTGCATCTGAGTTTATCTAACAGGCTATGATTGTATTGACTTTTACAACTTTGAAGTACTCTCCTCGCGGCCAACAAGGTTAGGGTGGCCGTCGTTCATTGGTCGTGTGACAGCGTAGAAGGCAACACCCTCAGTCTTTGTTGAGAACTATAAATGGGTCAGCAAGTGTATATAGGCTGATTGGAGTACAGAGAACCAACCTGAGCCTTGGAGCCAACATGGAAGAAAGCCCAGTCTCCAGCAACGAGGTGGTGGGTCTTGCCAGTGGCCTCATCCTGTATGTTATCAGTATCATTTGTGATACAAATTTTGAAATCGACTGGGATCTTACTGTAATGTCGATTTGACCCTTGAGAACATACTTGGTCTCCTCGTAGTCGTACTCGCCGTATCGTGTAGGTCCGGGCACAACACGGTAGAATCCAGTGGTCAGGTAAGGGGTAGAGTGTGAGCTCTGGGATTTGATTGAGTGGAAGTCGGCGATTATGGCGCATTCGCCCTCGGGGATTGGGATGTGCTCATGGCCGGCGCCCTTGATAATGGTAAGAGGAACGATCTTATTGTTAGACACTAGAGATGTTAGCACAAGATTTTAGACAACGACTAAGTGTATCTTACTGTTTAAGCGTATAGATAAAGTCTAGAGTCTAGAGATATAGACAAGTAGGTACGAGACAAGCTGTCCGCACCTGCTTATATACCGATTGAAACGGAGCATTCTCGGGATAGATAGTGTTATCAGACCTTGAAATACGGGGTCCGGCTCCGGAGCCGTCGCGCCGTGCTGCCACTAAGCTACAAAGAGGGTTAGTGTCATCGAATTAAGGTGGACCGAGACATAACGTGATCGGACCCTCACGGGCCTTGGCCGGATTATCCTGGAAGAAAAGCTATCTACCATTACGTTGTGGGTATTTTGTTATAAGATCTGAGTTCCAATCTCATCTGGTCGGCTCGGCCATCAAGGGACCCTGGGGCCACGGTTGCTTCTTCCCGCCCCTCTGTGGCTACAGCCAATAAAAATAATCGTTGATACTTGGGGCTTGCAGCAGTATACACTCAAACTCAAGTATTCATGGTCAAATGAAGATGGAGGGACGGCTCCGTAAGCATCCGGGGTTGCTTCTACATCCTCGCCTTACAAGCGGGGAACAGGTTTAAGCTCGACATCGAGGCCATTGTTAGGTGATAGTTAGCCACTATCAGGTGTTACTAGTAATCTCTTATTTAAATCAGCCTTCAATCGAAGAGTAGGCTGTGGCACCGATTCCCGGAAATACTGTATATAATAGCACTGGATTTTGCAGAAAAGAGCTCAATTTGAGGACCGTCCACGTACAGGAAACGAAATAAATACAAATAATACTAAATATCACCACCCAAGAAATCCGCCACCGCTCTTGAGTTTAGCCTTCCCATCCCCGGTTTCCTTCTTAGGAGATGATCTAATGAGTTGCCCACCAGGAATCGAGTTATCAACATACGTAGTCTTTTTCGGGGGCGGGGGCTTCTGCTCGGCCTTCTTCTTCTGAGGATCGGCGCTCTTGGCCTTCGGCTTTTTTCTCTGTCCGCCACCGGCGAACCATGCTAAAGTTGAGATGGGAACTTCCACTGTCTTCTTTTCAGTGCGTGTATGACCCTCGGAATCTCCTTCCCCAGTGCCCTGGCTGCGGGAACTACTAGCTTCTCCGGATCCTAATGTTAAAGTTAGCTTCATATCATGACCATATATTTCATTATAGGAAGATCTTACCTCGAGACCTTCGCGGGTCGCGGACGGCAACAGCAGTATTGCGTTTCATGGCGCTGGAAACGGTTTCGTCCGTGAAGTTGCGACGATAACTCGACATACTGGCGGACTTTTGAATATCTGTGTAGATTGTCGGGATTCCCTGAAGAAGCTCAAATATTGCGATGATGATTATAAAATCTGTCTGGCATGATTCGAATTCCCTCTATATATGCAATGTATCTACAAAGAGAGTTATAATTATCTAGCAATCCCATCTACTTTTTGGGCGGCTTTCATCGTGTCTGGGTTTTCTAATGTGTGTTTCAAGGGTCTTTATAGTCGAGATATTAACAAGGAAGACGATTCAAAGGAGATAAAGAAGATTGGGTCTCTTATCCGTGGTACTAGTGATGGGTGCATTGTTCGACAAAGACATTATACTATAGCGCCATGGCTCGGAATAGATCATGCTAGGCTAATCCAATCCCAATGAAAGCGGACACGCTATATGTTCTATTATTGGTGGTTTATTTCCCTGGTTCTATCATTTTTGATCTCTTTCTTCAGCACAAGTAGAGCCAAAGGACACTCTATTTTAAATTAAATGCTCCAGAAATGATTAAACAAAGACTCATGGTCCAAAAATCGGCAATTTGAATAAGGGAAATTAAGGAGCAGCAAATCACAATTCTCCATCTTTCAATCTCTTCCCCTCCTCGAGTAAAAGATCGAGTCCTCGTGAGGGAGAAGCATTTGAAATTGCCGCGCGACCTCACAGCAGCTATCGCCGATTAGACCTTGCACTGGTTAGCATTGAAATTGTCTTTTCTTTCTAGGCATCAAACCCCGTCAATACGTACTTAGGTTTATCTAATAACAAGGCAGGATCTACAGGATCCGTCAGTTCCCTCTGCCTGTTCTCCGGTTCTTTTGCTCTCCGGCGATACATGAGACTATCACGCGCGGGGTCATATATCCATTGCTCCGTTGCTTTTCTCGAATCAGATGTCGAGGGAATAGAAGAACGGGTACTTTCAGCATCTGAAACGGAGCCCCTGCTATTAAACAGAGGTGATTCATCTTCAGATAATTCAGGTGGTGGAGGTGACGATGAGGTATGCGAAGCCTTAGGGAGAAATAGGCCAGTTTCCTCGATAGAATCGGGATGGGGACCATCCGAAGAGCCTGCTGAGGTTATGCCTTGTTTGGATCCACCATTATCGAGTCCTAAGTTTTCCTCAGGGGTGAAAGGTGGCGAGGGAGATCCGATATCAGTTGCCGGTCCTGGATCTGAGCGATTAGGACTAGGAGTACTCTGGATTTGAGTCTCTACCTCGACGTATGGTGGTGGGTTGTCCTCGGGTTGTGTTTCCCGAGGTTCTTGTCGCTGGGCACGTTTTCTCTGAGAGGGTGCTCCCTGGGGAGTTACTTGCGAAGATGAAACCCCTAATAAATAATAAGGTCAATTTTGAGGGTTCCAACGAGTCCGGATGCATGTTTAACTCACCATTCTTACCCGCTGCAGCGGCTCTGATATCGCAGTTGCATCGTTGACGTATCTCCGGGCCTTGTGGATCATTTCTTATGTCCTTGTTCCGGCTCGAAATCGTACTTTTTAGGTATCCAGGGGTCGAAGCACCGGCCTTTGTAGACTCAGAGTTGTGCACGGGACACGCCATCTTGAAAGAAGACTACATAAGTCCACAAAGACCCCCACAAAAAAAGCCGTCAGATGGAAATAACAAAGGAGAAACGAGTAGTTAAGAAGAAAGCAGCGGGGCAACACAAGACTCACGACACCCGGGTTCAGAAGGGGACCACCTATGCATAGGCACAAACGGCTCCAATTAAGATACCCGATTCGTTGGCAATGTACAATAGTGTTTGCTATGGCTTAAATGGAACACGAACTCATCCCTGTAGAAGAGACATGTGATGCGTAGGCAATGCCTTGAAATAGTCAAGCGGTTCGTCGATCGTCAGACGTGCAGTGCAGCGTAGAATTATCGTTCATCGTTGGAGGATGAGAAAAGCCATCGGGCGAACTGCTGCAGTATGAGTAGATCAGGGCGACCAATTAGGAGATAGCAGCGAAGTCCTGTGGACCATCCATGGATGCAATAGAATATTCTATTTGAATGAGCGGGACGTTGTGCATTGGCTTGGGTCCCAGTTGAGGAGGGAGTACATGGAAATATTTGAATAGGCCATACTTAGGTGATGTACAATCAAAAGTCCGATGATCTCAATTCTCGATAATCGCGATATTATTTGTATACAGGTGTCACAAAAGAAAGGACGAAAAAAAAAGAAAATACAGATAAAGTCAAATCCCACAGTTCAGACCAATGAATCGCTCCTCAATCAGCCCCATCAACAAGCCCACTGAGCATCCCATCCCCTCACCCCGAGCTAACCGGCGGAATAATAGCAATCTCATCCCCATCCCCAATAACAACACCGCCCTCACCCCCTAAACCCGAATCCCCACCCTCATTCTGATCAACATAGCCCCCATTCAGACTCACCGCGCACGAAATCAGCACCTTCTCCCGAATGCCGGGGTACCTCCTCTCTAGCTCGGGAAAGAGGTCTGCCAGGCGGAGTGGGGCGGGGAGGAGTTCTGTGTTTTTGGTGGTGTATGTGCTTGCGGCGGCGAAGTAGTGGATTGTGAATAGGGGGGATGTTGATGCGGAGGTTGTCATTTTCCAAGGTTGTGGTGGTAACCTGAGAGAGAGAGAGGAAGTAAGTCCAGATGAAGTGGTTGCCCAGGTGGTTGTGGTTTTGGTGGAGGGAGAAGGACTTGGAGAGATTGGAGAGGTGGGGTTAGTTATCAGTTATCAGTTATCAGTTAATTATCAGCTACTTTTACTATGAAACTACACTAGTTTACTTTATGTTTATGCATGGACTTTCCTAATCAATCAACGCCTCGGGGACTCCCGCCCTCATTCGATGACCATATAATACTAGTAGTAGTACTATAGATTTCCAAGATATACAAAGAATCCCAAACACCGCAGGATTACTCCCCCATCTCCTTAGCCAACTCAAAAAAAGCCCCCTCCAAATCCCCCCCTCAAATCCTCCCAATTCTCCAACCCAACACTAACCCTCAACAACCTCCGATCAACCATCCGATCACTCAAAGTCCTCCACTCAATCAACGTCTCAACACCACCCAGACTAGTAGCATGCTGAAAGAAATGCAATTTACTCGGCAAAAACCTCGCCGCCCTCTCCGTCTTCATCGTAATCGCAAAAACAGGCCCAAACCCATTAGGCATTTGCTCAGCCAACCACCCCCCTCCATCTTTCTGAATACTCGCATGAAAGACTTCTTCCAGCACAGTCTGCACGCTTTCCTCCACCGATCCAGCCGCGGGGTTCGGGGCCCGCAATGCAGAATCTAACCAAGATACCAAATTTGCCGTATTGGACGATTGCCGCTGAATCCGAACTTCTAATGTTCGAAGACTCCGAACACCAAGCCAAGCTTCCATATTCCCCATAACACTTCCTAAAAAGACCCGATCTTCGAAAAGTTGTTTATACCATCGTTCCCCTTGCTCATCACCACCGGACTTTGTAACCAAAACCCCCGATAACAAATCACTATGACCGCCAAAATATTTCGTCCCGGAATGCATAATCAAATCCGCTCCAAATTTAAACGGCTCCTGTAACGCCGCCGGAGCGAATGTAGAATCCACGACGAGAAACGCGCCGCGCGAGTGCGCCTTATTCGCAAAATACCGTATATCGAACGCCGTTCCTTTCGGATTAACCGGAGTTTCTAATAAAATGACATCGCCCCTGCCAAGATCTTCGGGTGCACAGTCCAGCGGCACCTTTTTCAGACCCGTTGTTCGGGTGAAGAGGGATATTACCCCGTGACAGCCGTGGTAGCCTTCGCCGACTGAGATGGTGCGTGGGTTTAGGAGGGTTAGGGCTGCGTGGAGGGCGGAGAGGCCGGAGGAGTATGTTATTGCGCGCCCGTTTAGGAGGGTTGAGAGGATTGTTTCGAAGCGGGTTGGGTTTGGGGCGGACATTCGGGAGTAGATGTGGGAGGTGGATGGGGGGGACTGGGTGGGTGGTTGTTATTATATTATCATTCTTGTGGAAGTGGAGGTTGGCTAGGTATCATACGGTGGTGGCATTGGCAGCGGCATCTGCATCAGCTGCCGGGACTAGAAGGTTTGGATCGCTGGGATAGCGGAAGGTTGTGGCCACATGAAGTGGGGGAGCGACGTCGGGGACGAGGTTTAGGACATCATCGGCGTGTAGGGAACGCGTGGAAGTACCAGTGGAATGCGCCATTGTTATGCTATGTTCTTGGAATTGTATGCACAGGAAGAGGCGTTGGCATGGAGAAGAAGTGTGAAGTATGAGTATGAGTGTGAGTGTGAGTGTGAGTGTGAGGTGGGAAGCTTGGAGAAGTGTGAAGTTTGAAGTTATGATACAAGAGGGGCAGAGAGGGGGTTGGTCACGTGGTGTGGGGAAGCCCGAGGAATACTGGTATAAAATGTAGGAATGTAGGATGGTGTGATTGAGGGTATGGTGATGATGATAGATGCATGGACATGGCATGACAGGATAGAGGTAAGTGAGGTCTGCCTTGCTTTGCTCTGTTCTTCTCTGTTCTGCTCTGGACTATCGACGCAGGGAACCCATCCGAGATGGTTCACGCACAGATCCTGGCAAGGCCACCTTAAAGTTGGTGCGCTCTGTAAGAAGGGAGAGAGAATTAGCATGTTGCACCACTCGAGGGGAACTGGTACTCGGAATTCACTCACCAGCCTCCGAATCAAACGTAATAGCAATATCATCGTGTTCAATCGGATACTCAGGCATGTCAAGACACACAAAACCTGATCCCGGGTCATCATCCTTCTTCGGAAGAGCAAACTTCGCATCGACAATTCGAATACCGAATTTGCCGGACCGACCGAAGGACTCAATATGATCGGTGCCCTTGAGAACAAAGTTCATGCATGAACCATGATGGAAGTCTTGGAAAAAAGCAAGTAATTGCACGACCTTCTCCTGCTTCACGATTTGGACACGCGCCAGGCTGGCCTCCCATTTCTTGTAAATCGGGACCATACTGCGACGTCGGGAGATGGTGAAGGAGGATGCGATACTGGATGAATTGGTTAGTAAACAGCTTCATGGGAGTACAAAACAGAACGTAGCACAGTGCAGCGCGCGTCGCCCGAAATCAACTCTCAACTCACCTATCGTATATCACCGAGAATCCAGTAACGGCCTGCTCAAATGCATGAAGAGCTAAGAGCTGTCAGCATAATCCAATCCAATCCAACCCATGTGAACATCAACACCTACCCTGGATATTCGCAAAGTCCAATCGACGAACCATCGGCTTCGCAGTCATCTTCTGAATAAAGTCGGCGACCTGGTCCGGCATCTCAGGACGAACAAGATTATCCGCCAGCGAAACCGTGAGATCCTGCTGTGCCGGTCGATACAAGCTCATACCAGTCCGATTCTTGACATCCAGCCCAAGCTTCAATTCTCCGGGGCCTGCGCGAGTCAGTAATCAAAGAAAGACGATATGGAGAAGAAAAACGTTGAAAGTAAACCCAACTCACCCATATTAAAACGATCCGTAACAGACCCCCACTCCGTAGCAATAAACGCCCTCAAATTTTCGGACAAAATCGTCGGACCATAACCGTGTTCCACATAAGAATCCTCCTGATCAATAACAAACACATTACCAGCAGGGAATTGTAAATGATTAATGGCTTCCTTGCCACTCCCCGCCTCACCAGGTTGCTCGATACTATAAGCGCGAAGAGGGTATTCGGGAGTCTTGCTCTCTCCCTCCCGAGGAGCCATACCCAGCAACACCGAATGCATCCGAGTGCGCTCCTCCGCTTCATGGAAAGTCATCAACATAGACCGGGTGCGTCCGTCCTCCGTAACTTTGAGCAAAAGCGCCGCAGCGCCATCCTCTCCTCTCAACAGCCCAAATACAACAGGCGCCCCTTGCCCCAGAACGTGACGGATGCTGCTAAGAGTCTTAACCTTGGGACTTGTCAAGACGGCAAGTCTGAACCCGCGGTGTGCGTTTCGCGTTCCAGTACCTTCGGTCACCTTGACATGACGCTCGAATAAACGAATGCGGCAACGCTCCAATGGTTCGGGTGGGAATGCCTTTTGCGCTCCCGGGTCCATATATTGGAATACTTTGAGGGTGTTTTCGAATACCACCGTCTCACCGGGTTCCGGTGAAAGACTACCCTCCGATTTCTGCGTGTATTTAACAATGTTCCAAAGTGTTTTGAAATCATCTTCCTTGAACATGACATCCAGCTCGAATCCGCGGGGTAGCTTCACCCGCATAGAGTGTGTTCGAACCTGCCATTCCACGTCGTCCCAAGTGGGACCCTGCTTGCGGTCGGACTGGATCATGATATTGACAAGCTGGCTCTGGCTGGTAATCGCAGCAAAGACATACCAGTCCGAGCGCTCTCGAATGATGGTCAGTGCGCACGGCATGGCGTATTGTTCGCCATCGTCCTCGCTGGAGCTGACACATGCTTGGACAAACAGGCTGCCGTAACTGAAGTACCTCGGGGTGTCGCCGAGCGGCATCATGTGGAACAAACTCGGGGCCTTGCCAGGTTTGTCGGCAAGCATTGATCGTGTCGCATTGCCAGATAGAACTGCGGATACGTCCGGGGCGAAGAATGGGTATCGGAGCCAAATGCTGGTATCCAGGTGACTAGGAGATTGCTCATCGCCGAGGATGACTGCAAGAATATTATTACGCTTGATAGACATGGAAAGAGAGCGCAGATGGTTCAGGGTAGTCTGGTGCAGGGTGAGGGCCTCGACGAGTTCTTTATTAGCGGTGGTGTTGGCCACGGCGAGAAGAGCGTCCACGCTCATCTGCCCATATTGAGCGAGTTCATAATGCGTGGGGATAATATTCTCATTGATCCACAGAGACTTGCCGAGGTCGATGACGGCCTGTTTAGCATAGCTGGGGGGGTGCTGTTGCGCGCGATCGAGCAAAGGATTCCAATCGAGTCTTTCCACGTAGGAACCACCAAACTGCCGCACGAATCCATTCCATCAGAGAGGTTTCCATCAACGGCTTCACACTCTCCGCAGCCATTGTCAAAAGGCTATCATATCGGGCAATATAATCCTTGAACTCGGCAAACGAGGTGTCGCCCACCTGATTGGCAACATTGCGTAGAGAGAACTTTGGTGGTTGTGGGCTCCGTGATGGCTCGCGACTTTGCTGAGGGGAGACCAACTGGTTCGCTGGGGGAATCTCGTGTGCGGGAGGCTTAGGAGGAGATGATGGTTTGGAAGGGCTTCCTGGAACGAGACCTGGTGGGGGTCCTCGAGGGTCGACGGGGCTGAGGTTGGCCGGGGGGCGATGAACAGCAGGGCTGGAAGGGTATCGAATAGATTGAACGATCGATTTGAGGGAGGGTGCTTGATTCGAGCTGCTCGACATCGGAGGGGTATCGTAATTCGCCGGTGGCGCGTCATGCGGGCTAAATGCCGATGGTGGCATCTCGGGGGGTGATTCAGGGCTAGGCAGATCATCCTGGTCGTCATCCGCCGGGGATGCGACATCCACATCATCTGTATAGTGGTTGTGTAAAGCCCGACCTTCCTCAGCCTGCATCTGATTCCGTACGCGCTCGGCGAACGAATGCGAATCTGGCGACCCACGGAAGGAGAGTCGCGAACCGGGCTTGTTGCTAATGCCCAGGGTGCTCAATAAATCCGCATCCTGCACATTCTGTGTGGGCGGGGGTCGTGAATTAGGACTGGTGGCACTTTCATGAGGGGAACCTCCACCCCGTCGACGTTCCTCACCTTCGCCCAGCGTGGTGTTGACTCGGAGTGACGGGAGTGGGGAGCGTGAAGGGGCGCGGCGCGGGGGGGTTCGCCGCTTGTCGCTCCAGCGCTCGCTTGCGATTATAGGAGATCTCGATGGTGGGGTACTCGGACTCGTCACCACCCTCTCCCATGATCTCGGGGGCACGATCCGAGAAACCGATGCGGAGGCCCTTGTTCTTGCGACGCCTCATGGTGGGTTTCCGAGCTGGTTCGGCGGGCAGGGGGCGTGGTTGGGGAGGGGCATCCTGGAGATGGGGAGGGGGCGCCTGGTCGAAATTGAAGGCGGCATAGTCTTCCTCGGAGATGGGAGGGATTGAAGGGATTGAAGGAGGAGGGGCATGGTCACGATGGTGAATTGGGAGAGAACTCGAAACTTGAGCTTGAGGGGCGCTGGAGTAGTCCTTGGGGATGTCGGCCTTGGGCGCAAGGCCATCAGGGACGGGTCGCGAGGTCGCCAGGAAGTCCTCGATCTGTTTGTCCGGGGTGGAGCGATTCTTATCCTTTGAGAACAACTTGTCTCTCCAGTGAGGTTTCTTTGCAGGGGCGGGTTTGGGCTGCTCAGCAGCCAGAAAGGCGAAAGGGTCATCGGCAGGCATGTCGGGGAGAATGGCACATCGCAGAGCTGAAGGGAGACAAGGAACCAGTCCTTGGGGAATCGAGAGGGACAGTGGGGGGCAGAGACACAGACACAGACACAGACGTGGCAAGACGAAGATCGTCAGGGGTGCCCAAGTGGTGGTGGTGTGGTGGTGGTGGTGGTGTGGTAAATTGGGGCAGTGCGAAGGCGAAGGCGGGGAGAAGGTGAAGGTTGAACTTGAAGGGGGGGAGGTGGATGAAAGGCGGGAGGGGCGTTGTGTGTAGTGTGTAGCCCGTGCAGACGATCAAGGGAAGCCCTGAGGTGTTTGGTGGGTGTTTGGGGGTTTGTTAGTCCTTTCTCGTCCTGGTGGAGATGAGATCGGCGGGGAGCAGAATGGAGTCGGTGGTGTGTATGGTGTGTATGGTGTGTATAGTGGTGTGTGTGAGGTTGTATACTGCCAGTGTTAGTGAGAGTACTAGTATAGGGTTGAGAAGTGGGCTGCAGGAAGAGTACCGGTATCTAGTAGTAGTAGTAGTAGTCAAGATAATGACTTGAAGCAGGATAGGGTAGTCCAGGTAGGGTGGTGATCCTGATAGATAGTGATTAGTTCTACTATCCAGTATACTAGCAGTATAGGAGTATACTAGTAGGTTAAACATACACTTCTACAATATGATATACACCACCGTATACACTACAGTATACATATATATACTAGTTTCCTAACACAGATCTATACTATTACCACCTTATAGCAGTTCTATCATCATATCTGAGACCACCTCATCCACTTCTCCGGACTTCAGGTGGACCGTCTCAGCTTGAAACCGCCTAACCCACTTCGGGCGATCCTGCTGGGGCGGCGGGTCCGCTGACGAGGCATTCAGCATACAGCAGAGTATATTAGCCTACAGGTATACTATCTAGTATTAGTATTAATAGAGTCACAGTAGGGTTATATCTGTTCTATTTACTTGTTGATAATATATCATATCTATCTATATCCATATCTATACTCCGTACATACCGCACTGTATACACACTTCACGGCTTCCCCCTTTGGTCCTCCCGCCAGGCATGCGGAGCCAACGCCACACGCCATTTGGCGCCCATTGGTGGCCTTTGCTGCCAACGACCATTGGTTCAACTGCCACCCTGCGTCTATTCTCGGCCACACCTGAGACCAACCTAATTTAAGAACGAGGAACCATTCTCTTGCAGGGATAATTATAGCTAGGGCAGAGTATACTAGCGGGCATAGAGTATAGCGGGCATACGAGTATACTAGTACCGGTCGCAAATTGCATACTATGAGTGGAGTGCGAGCTACCCACGAAGCACTTTGACAGTCCTGGACTACGGAGAACGCCGTAGTTAATATAGTAAGAAGTTACATTGCTCCAAGGTTATTTTAAAATAAAGAACGCCTTTAAGTAGTACAGCCCTACTGCTAACTTGGCACTAGCACTGGCACTGCCAGTGCCAGCCCTGTACCAGTGGTCAGTGCTCAGCTCCCTTGCAGTAACCGTCAAAATATATCTCGGCACCTGGTTGGCACCTGGGCATAATTTGTCCATCCATAAATGTAGTTGAGTCACGCGACATGAAATTTTCAAGTTTCCATTAGAAACCCCCAGGGCTGAAATAGTACCTCCACCAGCAACACTGCCAGTGCCCAGGTGACCTTGCTCGTATAATGTGTTGTACGCGATAGCGCCATGTTTCTTAGACTATTCCACAGTGACCACCGCATTGCCCTAGTCAGACTTACGGGATACTCCTACTAGTAGTAGTACTAGTAGTACAGGGAATGTTTAATGTTAACTACCACTCATACTAGTACTACTATTGTAGTAGTCCAAGTATACTCTTTAAGTTTATGAGTACTCTAGTAAACTTAACCTTGAAAAGCCCTACACCCACAGCCCTGGTGGCAGGCAACGAGACACACCACACGTCACCCATTCCACTCTACAAACCGCCAAAGGGCAGTAAAAAGACCTAAAAACACTCTCAAATTAAAGGAAAACCAATAGTAATATATATCCTACTCCAAAATACCAAAAACAAAATTACAACCGCGGTGAAGCGAAAAAAACAAGGAAAAAGAAAAGCTGGGCCCCCGAGTCGAACGGGGATTACTTACAGCACTCGAAGTCTGGAAGGGCACGTCCCCTTGTACTAACCCGGCGGATTTGAAAAGTATGGGTGCCTTTACCTTCATCACCGAGCAAATCGCCGAATTGGGTGTCGGAGGGGGTAGGGCGGGTTGGGTTGGGTATTAGTAAGTGCGATACTGTCTGTGAAGTTGGGTCGAGTCGAGTCGAAGTAGACAAGGGAAGGAACCCCCCCGCATGGATCCTGACAAGGCACGCGTAGATGGGACCAGGACCGTCTGTATAGTCTATCTGTCTTTGCTAGACAAGACGTATGCAAACAGTTCCGTGTTTCTGGAGCGGTCGATCGCAGAAATATACCACGGCAGGGACAGGGAGTTTGAGCTTCGAATATCGACGGGAGGACTGAAGGGATTATCGAAGAGGTATGATTGGAAACCAATCAAATAATCATAGGGAACGAGAGGAGGCACAAGACGTGCGCGAGATGGAAATTGACACGTTCTGCAGATGAGTAATAGCGCGAGAAGATATCCACGACTGTAATGGCACAGAAGGATCTGAGTGAATACGGGAAGGAAAAGGAAAGGAAGTTGGATGTAGGGAGTGGGGTAGAAAGAAGAGATACACTGGTCTGCATTCTGAGCGATTGCACCGTTGCTGTCCAGCCCAAATGTCGGTCTGTTGGATTCGTACTTCGAAATAGTGGGCGCGGATGCGGTGGTAATATAAGTGCGTGTCCTGCGGATGCCTTCACGAGTGGTAGCTTGAATGGAGAAACTGGGGAGGGGTGAGTGGTCAGGGCATTGTTCGGGATGAGATGAGTAGGAGGATGTGCAGGGGACAGGGACGGAGGAGACTCGGCTATGTGCATGGGTCATATTCCCAGCTGAGCAGACGGGGAGATTAGGGACTGAATACTCCATCGGTGAGGAATTCAGATGGACCGTGTGGATTCTTGGCTGGAGCATTGTGCAAAGAATGGCCTTTCTCTATGCAAGTTGCCTGACCGCATGATTGGGGATGAAAATGCAGGGTCATAGTAGACCAAGAGTAGACCCAGAGTACATAACTAATCGTACATACTCGTACATAAAAGCATCCTCGTATAGCCGCTGAGTGGCTGGCTGCATTGACGCGAGGCTCGCCAGTTCAGGCATCCCATGCACAGCAGTCGATGTGGCGTATCTGCATATCCGAATGGGAATTGGGAATTGAGAACTGGGAACTGGGAATTAGGGCAAAAGGGCAATCCACATCCACATCACATCCACAGTCAACAGGTGGTGAGTGGTCCACCCGGCTGAAAAAGATCAGCCACAATTCCACAGCCACTGAGACATCGTGCCAGGTTGAGCTTGCTTGAAATCGTGGGTACGAGTGGGCGGGATTGGATAGGCGGGGACGATTGCAGTAAGAAGGACCGTAGGCCCAGTGAGATAGATGATTAGGCCGGACAGAAGTGTCGAGCTACTCGTACGAGTATATGGAATTGAGTGGACGATCGTGCAATGGAACTCGTGATCGACACGAGATTATGACGGAAGAAGACGGTGGTGGGCATGAGGATGAGATTGCCTCTTAATTTTTAAGGCGGATCAGCGAGCGAGGTGAGACAAGCATGGCGTCGGTGGGTGGATGGAGTGAAACATTGAATATAGCTGGGTATGGGAGAGCTGAAGTGGAAGAAGTTGAAGTAGAAGTAGCAGTAGAGTAGAGGTTAGTCATAAAGTAGTCAAGTAGTAAGTAGTCAAGGCAAGAGCGACCAGAGTGCCAGGTGGAAGGCAGGCGCAACCCAATAAACAAACAAACATTGGAAGGGAACCTTAGGAAGGTGCGACGCAGTGGTACTCGCTATCGCACTATCGCACTATCGCACCTGCCCTGCGGTCTCCCCGGCTTGGCTCTTTCCCTGGCCAGACCTGCCACTGCCAAACCCAACAAGGCGCAGCAACATCAACCTTCAACCTCCAACCTTCGTTCTCTTACTTTCTCTTTCTCTTTCTTTCTTCCACTACCTCCACCACCACCACCACCACCATCCACTAGGGCTTCTCTAGCCTCTCCCCCCCCCAGATCCTCCAGTCCCAGCCTGATCTGAACTGAGCCTGCAGACTTACGTACTCTGCGTTCGCGTTCCACTCCTCCCCCCCCTCCCATCTCCGGTCAAACAACCTGGTTCCTCGTCCTGTTCCACCTGCCTACCCCCCTCCCTCCTCTCGGAACCATCTCATTCGAGCTTTCATATCCTTTTGCTGGGTGTGCGCAAGCCCACTCGCCAGCCCGCGACCCTTCCGATTGCCAACACAACGTGGATTCGATCTCCAACACCGGGGGTTGACCCCCCCCTTAGGAGGTCATCCCGGATGCCCGACCCAGAGATGTGTCGCGACTTGACGCGCGTGGGCCGACTGCCCAGGGAAGCTGCGGATATCAAGACAATCACCAGATTACCCCGTGGGAGTTTGCGAGATACGTCCAAACGACAACGCCCACAACGGCGGCGCCTATCGCTGGAGCCTGGGCCAACCATCCAAACAGCCCATGCTCGCCATGCTCGCTCCTTTTGGTGGATCGCCCTGCTGTGTCTATTCGCTTGCATATCACCCACCACCGCAGCTCTCATCAACTTTGATAACTGTTTGGACAAATCCATCTTGGAATCGGACCCCTTGCAGCTCCAATTCATACCCCTCAACGTCTCCGCGACATTCAATCTCTCCGATCCCCTCCACCCACTGAATGTTACAATTTACGGCAATGTCTCCGGAACGACCGATGGTTCGACATACAATTATTCTCCGAGTGACCCCAGTGGACAAATTCCTCGTCGACATACGGCAAGATTTGGGATCTGGGCGAAACGACCAACAAATACACCACCTTGTTGACGGAGTTTGACGTCCTGAGTTATGTGCCCTGGAATAATGGAACTCCATTTTGCTCGACCGTGAACCAGGGTGAATGCCCGCTGGCGCCGGCCTTCGATGCCAACAGGTATGCCTATGTTGTTGGTGATGTTTCGTGGTGTGATTATTTTGTTCTAACTCAACAACTCTACTTAGGAGCGACTTGCGAACGCTGCGATCCTTCTCCGTCCAGCATGATATGGGTTCTACCTATCGCTTCTCGACCATCACTCCCAAGTTCACGATCCTTCTCGGCGATGCCGCCGTTTCTAAGCTAGCCTGTATCACGGTGCCGATCACCCCGGATTTCGGCGCGCCGCTCAAAAATGCCCTTGCATACGTCCCCTTGGTGATTCTGGTCCTGGTGGGGGTAGCTACTCTGCTAGCATCCATGTATACACCCTGGGGTACGACCGATGTCTTCCGGTGGACGAGTAATTATGGTCGCGATGAAGATATCCTCCGCCTAGTCACCCCCGGCTTCGCGGACTGCTTGCAGTATCTGCAGTTCGTCGTCTTGACGGGTGCACTCTCCCTGGAATACCCTGGATTCTTCCAACCGGCCGTGAGCCAGGGTTCGTGGTCGGCCCTCATGTTTAACCAGAGCTTCGTCAACGGAGGTGGCAACAACCCGATCCAAGATGGTGTTTTTGCGATCAACGCGACATACGGACTTGATCGGATGAACCAATTAGTGGGCATGGGCAGCACTCAAGATATGTGGCCTGGCATGATGATCTGGCTTCTGGTGATCCTGAGGGTGTATCACGCTGCTGATCCAGTTGGGCTTTGCATTGCGCTGGCTGCATCGTGAACTAGCCCACACCACCGAGCAGGACCTGCGCGCCAAAAATATGCCCTTCACCATTGGCAACGTCATCCGCATTGTTTTTAACTATTTCCTCCTTCCCATCATCTCTCTATCCTTCTTCCAGCTGGTCACAGCGAGTGGCTCCCCTGCATATAGCGTGGCCCTAGCGGCACTCGTGATCGTCATTCTTCTCTGCTTCTCCATATGGATGGTTCGAGTCATTGTCTCCACGCGCCCGAAATCTCACCTTTTCGACGACCTTCCCACCGTTCTTCTATATGGACCGTTATATAACACCTACTGTGACGATGCTGCTGCGTTCGCCATGGTCCCAATCTTCCTCAATTTCGCCCGTGGTGTTGCCATTGGAGCCCTGCAGCCGTCGGGAATTGCCCAGGTTGTATTGCTGGCCATCTGCGAAGTAGTCTCCGTGTTGACGATCATCGCATTCCGGCCATACGCGTCCCCGACACACATGAACCTTTACCAATGCGTCTTCTCTTTCGTTCGGTTCCTCACAATCATCCTCAGCATTGTTTTTGTACCTTCTCTAACGATTTCCTCCGCCGCGCGGGGCTGGATCGGCTACGTGATTCTCGTGTTCCATGCCCTGGTTCTCATATTTGGATTCTTCCTCAATGCCCTGCAGACCTTGATTGAGGTTTCGGCAAGAATGGCCGGTGCTGGCGGTTCCACCCGTGGAGGTCTGTCCAAAGTCTTTGGCATGCGTCAGCTATCAAGGCGTGAGGCTCGTCAAGGTCTCTCGCGGCAGAGTATGGGATCCGAGGCCGCCATGCTGGCTAACGTTGATGGACGGATGTCTTCTCAATGGGAAGGTTCTCGTCCTCGCAGTCTGTCAGGCAGCTCCGCTCTGCTACTGAACCGTGCCACCGCTAGCGAAGGACGTGCTAGTGGCATCCTTGAGTATGCAAGCTCGCAAGGTGGTGGTTCACATAGTCGTGCCCCTAGCGGCGGTATATACGCTCATTCTCCGACCGCGTACACTGGAGGTGGTGGCATTTCACCAAGCAGCAGTACCTTTATGGGTGCCCACCCACGTGATCCATACTACCGACCCCCAAGGCCTGGTGCAGTGCGAAGGTCTACCCAGCCTGGACCTGGCGATCGGTCGAAGAGGAGCTCTCGGACGTTCTTAAAACCAAACTTGAAGCACAGCCGTTCGGGTGACCCTGACGATGAAATTGGGGAGGGCTTCCCCATGTCTGGCCGGGGTACACCTGTGCCTGCATATCTCCCTGCACCCAAGGACGACATGGAGATTGAAGATTCTCAACAATCAAAAGACTACGCGGTCCGTGAAGTTGACTTTTACTATCGCGTCCGTGGTCCGCCGCTCTCGCATATGGGCACTCGGAAGTTGAAGACAGGCCCTGCTGATCCCACTGGTCCAGTGTCCTCCGCAACAGGGTTCTTCCGCGGTTTATTCCAGGGCAAAACCAAAGACAAGGGCAAAGGATTTGAGGTCGTTCGAAGCGCCCGCGCCCCTCCACCTGGTCTATTCCCCGGCGAAGGCTACCACGAAACACCATATCAAGATGATCCCGAAGACCAAGCGGCTGGCGAGACCCCTGGAGGACACTCTCGCAATGTGTCTGTGGGTGATGAGACGCCATATCGGGATTCCGAAGGCGACAATACCCCGAAGCGAAGCGATGCGCGCGCCCCAGTTCTCCCACAGGTCAACTCTGTCGGCAGCATAGAACTTCCTAGCCGAGTGGGATCTCGCCGCACCCAAGATGCCGGCTCGGAGCATGGCGACCGCCCCACTACGCCAGACCTTCCCGCAGTCGCAGAAACCACTTCGCCCTCTCGGAGCGTTCCAGATCCCGGCCACCTCCAGGCGGAATCTCCGGGGACTGCACGTCTGCCTTTTAGTGGAAGCAGCTCGCCATCCCGAGAACGCGGTGACTCCATTGCATCAACCTCCAAATCCAACGCATCAAGCCACCGAACCGGCCGGGAGGGATCTCGCCGAGACCGACCATCCAGCATGGGCTATGTCGCACAGTACCGTACTAGGGACAACATACACGAAACCAGTCCCGAAGAAACTTCTTTCACGGGGAGTCAAGCAGAACTAGTGATCGAACAACTGCACCGTGAAAATACGCATACTTCATAACCAAATGTACATGCAACACATCAACACCTTATACTACCTTCCACCTCCTCCTTCCGCTCTCTCTGACATCCTAACAATTCCCAAACCAACCATCCATCTAAACAAAACTTCTTGTACGCTACCTCTTGGATCCGAAGCACCACGAATTTCCTTACTATCGATGCTCATCAGGCGATCTTCCAAAATTGTTGCGGGCGTTTTGCTTTGCTTTGCTTTGCTCCGCTTTAGCTCTTTGCTTTGTCTCTGTCTTTGCCTTTGACTTCAAGTTGTTGGGATGTATTTGCTTTGCTTCCAATGCTTGCGCCTCGCTTGCATCCCGACCTGATCTGATCTGATCTGATCCGACCAGGCTTGGTTTAATTCAATTCACTCTCGTGCAAAAAAACAATGCACGGACATTAATTCTCCCCACCTACCTCCTGGTCCATTCTCTTCTATATTTTCCTCCTTTCCTCTTAAGTTAAGTCTTTTTTACTAGTACTAGCATAGCCTTTGTTTTACCTCGGATTGACATTGACATTGACATTGACAGTTGGTTTGGTTTGGTTTGGTTTATTTGATCTATGCATTCAATCTTGATTCTACTTGCTTGTACTATCTTGGGTATAGTTGAATATTATTGTTTCTTGCTACGGCTTGAGATTCCTCCTGCTTGGGGGTTGATGGTGTAGGTAGTTGTCGCTGGTAACTAAGCTTCAGCCGGTAATCTCGTACCTGTATGTAACCCTGGAACTAACTATTATTTGCAATCCTTGATTCATTGAGCACTGCCCAGGTGGTGTTGATGACGATCTCCACCATGGCAAGTGCCAATGTTCGTCCCTACGAGCGGATGGAAAATAGATCGCACTGTCAATTACTGACAAGAGATCACGATACGATATACCTGATTTTAATTTATGGCCAATCGAATGGTATCTTGTGATTAATTCAAGTTGTTCATAGTTACTTTACTGGCAGTAGCACAACTTGGGGTTTAGCAGAGCTAAATGAGGCCTAGAACCTTGGAACCAGTCAGTGCTCACCTTGGTCATAAATCATAACGTTAATCAATGCATATTTGGCCAAGGGTCTTCATAATGCCCAGGTGGACAAATGAGAAATTACTCGTAAAATGTCAGCAGAATTCCGCGCCCTACGTAGTGGGGCTCAAGACTCGGATGGGGGTTGGTAATGTCGTGGTCCAAATGCAGTTCGTTTAATTTTGGTACTACATAATATGCCCACAGCGCCAGAAGAGGTTCTTCTTGGTATGCTTCACTTATGAAAGCTTCTTGAAATTAATTCTGGTTTGCCATTCCTGCGACATTTATTGCATTCAGCCTGAAAGAGGCATTTCGTTCTCGCCAGGGATACGAGAGCGAGTGGATCTTAAATAAACTTGGCGGCGTGGGAGGCCAATTAAACTCGAGTTTCTGATCAGATTAGCCAAGGGAAGCCTTTTCATTTCACACAATCCTGGAATCCCAAAACTTTATGACTATTCTTCGGAAAGAACCCTTAATAGGGTCCAGATGCGTGCATTTTACTCGGCCGGTTGGTGGAAAAACGAATACCAGCACTGATGAGAATCGTAATGGGTCCGAATGGGGGTATTGTACGCCCAATATTCCCAACAACTGCAGAAAGCCAAGCTGCCAAGCGGCGTAGCTAGAATTGGCGCGTGCAGTAGTCGGATCTTGAGGAATACTGGCTGCCCTGTCATCAAACTCGAGCAATGCGGACGAAGGATGTCTATTAACTCGTTAATCTTCCCCGTTTATCAGATCTCATCTAATCTGATAAGTCGGCCAACTAGGCTGTTTCTTGAGTTGCATTACAAACCCAGCATATGGGAGGGATCTTCAATCAAATACGAAAGCATAAAGAACCTGCCTAAACTCCATTCGCCGTGCTTCTGGTCCACCGGCCCACCCCATTGAGGCTATGCAGCTGTGGTCCCTACTCCATATTCGAAAGTAAATCCCCCGATGCCTCCCAGGCCTGCCGATCTGATAGGAAAAAATTCTGTTTCAACGTCCCGAATGGGCTGGTGAGACATGCAAATCTGCCGATCCTAGCCAGGTTTGGGCTTTCTAGATCTTGGCTTATACTTCGGGCTTCCTGGCGAGACAAGCGCGGTGGAATTAAATTGCTCTTTTTGTCAATCTTCTAGGGAAAACTTCGGAATTAATAAGATGTCTGTAATCAATCAGTGATTATCATGCCACTGGCTATTTTTCCTGTTACGAAAGCGGTTGTTTTCTTGTTCATATTCTGTTCCACGGCGGACTCAGGGTTCAAGGTCCTGCGATGAATTCATTTCTCCTCGCCTTCTGCCTATGGCAGGCCACAGCTGCGGCAGTCAAAACTAACTTGAACACTGTATGCGCAACTGGATGTCAAACTACAGTTTCCAATATCGGCTTTTCAGGAATCAGTGCTTTAGAAGACTATTATGGGTCTTTGTGTGGGAATGTTCTTCAAGTGAAGTCAACATTTAATTGCATGCGAGAATACTGCTCGGAAAACGGACTTTCGGAGGGATGGGATGGCCTCAATCAGGTTTGCGAGGATGATGGAGGGACGGAACTTCTTCCGTGGTCTATCATCGATAATGTCACAGACGCAGAGGTGAAATCTTGGCCTATTCTCACCTATGAGGACACTCTACTGGGTGCTGAGTTTAATACCTCTGTCTCGGTTGATCAAGGTCTCTTTCAGATTGGGTATCAGACTATCGTGAGTATCATGATCGTCATTACATCTGAACTAATACTAAATGGTATTTAGTTCGACTGGGAGAATCAAAGAACAAAGCGACACAATTATGGGTGATGATCAAACTCCAAACATACACATTCTCTATTTCCCCTGCGGTCTCTAACATCTGGGAATTTGCAGCTACGCATTAGTCGGCTTCTGGGGACTTATTGTCCTCTTCGGTACCATGCATAACTTCATTCGATATCTGATGAACTCATCTATCCTTCGGTCGAAAACAATGGCGAGATGTCAGAGTTTCATCGAGCGATACTTTGCCGTGCCACCGATCTTGACGATGAGGAAGAAAAATCGAATTTTCAGCATGCCTTCCACTCCGAGACTACAGGCCATCATTATTTCGATATACTTCATTATCAGCATAGTCCTAATGTGTGTCGACTATCATGCATTCTCGGAAAACCTTTAGTAAGACCATCATAACCCAACTGCGAAAGACGAACCCGAAAGGATATTCACTAATTACCTCGATTCATTAGTTTCACCAAGAAGTCCACACAGCTATGGCGGTATATCGGAGACAGAGCGGGTGCTTTGGTCATCAACAATCTGCCAGTTATGTGGCTGTTCGCGACACGAAACAATTTGCTCTTATGGGTAACAGGATGGGATTTCGCCACGTTCAATACGTTCCACCGATGGATAGGCAGAGCGTGCGCTATCGAGATATTTTTGCATGGAATGGCAGTTTGCATTTATCAATACAAAGGTAAATTGAGATTTCTGTGTGGAGGTGAATCAAGCTGACTTTTTTAAATTGAAGAGCTTGGAACGGAATATTTCCTTCCTCTTTGGAAGGACGTTGACTGGTATATGGGGGTTGTTGTAAGAGAGGTTCCTTGGCACCTTTTGGGATATTGGCTAATGCCCTCGAACAGGCTGCTTGCTCGATAATTCTGATGACTCTCTTCGCAAGTGCACCAATTAGAAAGTCAGTCTATGATCTATTTTTGATCGTTCATCAAAGCTTTGCTGTTGCTTGTCTTGTTGGATTGTGGTAGTGAGTATTTGTCGATATCGCGTCTCCAATGCATAACTAACAGGACAAATTTAGTCATTTACCTGTTGACGGTCCCGACTACGTCAATTTCATCTGGCCTTGTATTGCTGTTTGGTCATTTGACAGATTGGTCAGAATAGTCCGACTATTGACCTGGAATAAATTTGCATCCTACTCCTCTGCGGAATACAACCGCGACGGAAATGTTATCCAGTTGAGGACTAGAGTACGACGGATTGCCTCTCCCTGTCCTGGAAGCTACTATTATGTTTACGGCTGGCGCTCTCTTAAGTTTTGGGAAAGTCATCCCTTTACTTTGAGCGGTTGGAACACAGTGAAAACGGCAGACGAATCATATACCGAGCTCATCTTCCTCATCAGTGTACAAAGCGGATTTACTTCCAGCCTCCGAGGCCAACTACTCAATCATGAAAGCCCCGAGACTGACTCGTCATCAGCTGCGAGGAAAGCCTGCCTCTCCGTCGAGGGTCCGTATGGCTCCAATTTCTGCCCCTGGCGTTCCGAAACCGCCCTTTTCGTCATTGGCGGCGCTGGTATCACGGTTGCAACATCATTCATGCAAGACCTGGTTGATCTGGTGCAGAGTGGCATGCATATTGACCAGAGGATCAAGAGGGTCAAGATAGTCTGGGCTGTGAAGAACCCCGCCTTCTATCAATTTGTCTATGAGCGCTACATGGCGGCTTGGGAAGCCGTCTTTGCATCGACAGATATCGAGCTATCGCTGGATGTGTACCTCACAATGCTTTCCAAGATGGATTCAGACGATGAGATGTCTTTACCAGAGCACCGCAACGAGCCCAACGAAAGTACAAAGAACATGGATACCGTCATCTCGCCATCGTCTTCATCTAATTCCCACATCACGACCGAGAAGGTACCCTCTGGGGAGGCTCCTACCAATGCGGGCACAGGAATCCTCAAAACAACTTTCGTGCAGGGAAGGCCGACTATCAACGATGTTGTTAGAAGCCAAATTGAAACTCTCCGCTCTTCCGAGGAGAAGCAACTCGCACTTGTCGGCTGTGGTCCAGCTACAATGGCCCATGACATACGCCTCTCGTTTGTCGAGTCTTCGAATGATGCACAAGTCGCAGTTGACTTCCACTTGGCTCCATTTGGCTGGTGAACGTCTGTAAATGCAGACAGATCTAATATTATAGACCGATAGAAGAGAATGCTCGAAATATAAATTTACAAGCGGAATAGCGTGTCAAAAATCAAAACCAGAAGATGGTTACTATTGACCTCGATTATGGTATCAGTAGGAAGCGACAAAGCTTTAAAAATACCCAAATCTAAGATTTTCTCTCTCACGTTAGGACTTGTAATACCATTGATGGGTTCGGTTTATTTCGTTATCTTCAGTCTTATTGTCAAATTTAACAGCGAGGGTAAGCAATATGCGCCATTCGCGAATCAAAAATCCTCCTCGAGCCAGACCCGCCGTCTTTTCCCAATAATTTTGTTTCCTCGCGTATCACCATCGTCGGTCATGTCCACTTCAAATCCCTCCAAGCTTGGCGAAACAGCCAAAATAAGGTTGCTCCCAACTTCTTCAGCAGCGTGCTCGACGAATGTTTTGAAGTCCGCTTCATACTTTCCCACCACACGCGATCGCACAGCAGGATAATGCCACTGCAGCCACCGCTCTTCAAATGCGATGGAGCAAGATGTAGGCTCCAACAAGTCTATAATAGCCTTGAGATCTTGTAAATACAAATCGTCCAGATAAACAATAACCCTGAGATACTTGCGGCTTTTGAACCCAAATTTTAGAGTACCAACGAGAGTTCGAAGATCTGCATGCCTCCCTTGGAATGGGGTTGCTCTATGAGCCCAGCCAGCCACCTTGACCAGAGCATAGATGGGGCCAAATATCACCAAAAATAGCCCTACCAACACCGAAACCCCTAAATGCTGTCTCATAAGAGGAATCACATCTCCATCCACTTGCACCAAGGGACCACTCATTATGGCGGATTCGGGACGAAATATAACCGTAACCTTCCGTGCCATCTCACATAACAGAGGATACGCATGCAAAGTGTTGAGAACTCCAGGTACTGACATATTTACTTTACTTAGTCCCCCATATCTGGGTATCTCAACGTGAATACATACCGAGGACTGGTGGAACATTATTGCCATTGATTCACGTCTGATCTGTCGATTGACAGAAAGAAGTGTAAAGGACTTGAGGAAGTGGCATTTGAGACCTGCGGCATTGATGGTGAAATCGTGCGGCTCTATTTCATCCCCAGTTCTGAAGCTGCCACTTTGCCATGGTGGCGTGAAGAAATTTGCGCTGATTGATTCATTGATTATTTGAGATCTGAGTTCGAAAGGCAAGTCTAGAAATTTAAATGAAAGCGATTTGACATTTGGAACCCCTATTCGAACGGGTCAACCCTATACCTTCAAGTTGCGGATGAAAATATTATGGGCACCGACTTGGAGTAGCCATGCAGCCTATCTTGATCAAAATAAGGGAACAGGTGATTCACGACCCGGGTAATGAGATTTTATCCCAAACTGATTTGTATTGTTCCAAAAAGTCCAAGATAGAGAGGATCGTTTTCCAGTTTGGCCAGGGTGGCGGTTTGGGTCAGGTATCTTTGACCAATAGGCGCAGCGGCTGAGGTCAATTCAAATTGTTATGAGAAAGTCCAAGCGGGAAATTCTTCCAGTCTCCCGGGGTAGGATATATCAGTGGAAAGGGAAAAGGGATGTAAAGACAAATGAGGGTTGAAGATGAATAATGAAGAAGTACGGGACGATAGGCGCGTAACAAGCCAGATTTCAAGTACTTTTCACCATCAAGGTTTAGCCGGGACATTTGCCGGAGTGTCTTAGGTGCCATGCGTGATTGAGACACGACTGTTGCCTTTTCTTTTACACATGACAGGTATGGGTAGCTCCCACTTGCCCTAATATAGTAAGCGGCTTAGACTAACGAAGCTTGAAAGAGCGCCAATTTTGCCGAGGGTCCAACCAGCGACGAAGCCCCTGGAAGCGAGGGTCCAAGCTACCATAACTCCTAGACTAATTCGGATGCGACCGAAAAATAGATCCGATCGCACTGACACGGTGCTCATTACAAAATAAGCACATTGCCCCAGATTCTTCGAATAAATATCCAACAGAAATTTTCGTTTCAATCCGCGAAATACTCCGCATTTACCAACACTATCACCAAAACCATACTTTAAAAAATGTTCACTCGCGTTCTTCTTGCGTTGGGCGCAGTCTCCGCCGCGTATGCTCAAACTACTGCTGGCTCGCCATTCTTGTCCCAGTTTCTTATCTTGAGTGACTACACCGTTTCTACTGTTACAGGCGTATGTGGCAAAACCTTCCTATCATAAAGAATTGATATTCAACATTAAAATGTCACAGGATAAATCCCATACCACATATAATGTGAAGTGTAATAGCGAGGCCACTCTTTGCTCACTGCCTGCTACTGGCGTCACGGTTGTCACTGCCCCATCATCTGTCGGACTGTCATACACTGAACCTTCAGAAACATTGTAAGCCGGAATATTAAACCAGTGACAATTATTGATTGGGACGTAGCTAACCCCTCGGCAGTACTTCCTCAGTCGGATGTACTTATATCGACAATCGAGCATCGGCAGTTTGTGTTACTTTACTGGCTGCTCCTAGCGTGGGTGTCCAGAGCGGTTCTTTTGTCACAGGCATGGATACCGTTAAATCGACCGTCACCCTGCCCGGTGCTTCCGTTGAGCTGGGATTTAACGCGGCCGCTACAACGACTGGCGCTTCTCAGAAGACCCAGGGGGTTGCGTCTACAACAGCAGCAGCTTCTCATAGCGAGACTGCCACGGGGACTAGCGCTATAGCGAGCGCGACGAAGACTGGGGGTGCGAGCGAGGCATTGATGCCTGGTAATTCTGGTCTGATTTTGGGGGTAGCAATGGCTGGCCTTGCACTTCTGCAGTAGAAGTTCAAAAAAGATCACTCATCAGATACCTACGCTCTGCTTTACGGCCCGTACCTAGAAATGTTCTAAGTTATATTCAAATGTGGCTTTAGTAATTATCTTCTGATTTCCAGCAATACTTGGTTTCAGTTCTAGAACAAACAATGTAGTCTACGTCACTTTTCCCTCGGATCTCCTAACAACTGAAACGGTATTTGACGTAGAAAGCTTTAAGATAGGTCTGGGGTCTACCAGTGCTGTTAGGGTATATCTACTTTACCCATAACTACTTGTACTATAATAAGCGCGTGGACTAGTCCACTAGGACGATGTCTGGATATATGCGGTCATTATAGTATTTGACAATAATCGTTACCCTTGAAACTAGGCTGTTTCATCAACAAAACGTCTGAGGAGAGATACAAGCTCGGTCGGGCAAGAAACGTCTCGTATCTGACAAGTATCCAGTTGCTCTTTTGCCAGCAATACCACCGATTGATTCTCCCTTTCCTCGATTGCCCATTGGATTGCTGACCTGCCACATTTGTCCAATGCAAATATATCAGCCCCCGCCGCGAGGAGATGCTGTAACACTGTTACATGTCCTCTTCGCGCTGCCCAATGAAGTGCGGTCATTCCAGTGTCATCAGGGAGAGAGGGATCGATTCCCCCAGAAATCAAGTCAGCTATCTCTATTAAGTCTCCATTCCGGGCAGCTATATGGAGTGGTGTCAAGTTACTCATGTGAGCCGGTGCACTTTCAGGAGCGATAGCAGCATCTTCTACCCGATGAAGAAGTTCGTCGAACCGGGGTGGAAAGGATGCCCAGTTAAGTGCAGTTCTTCCACAATTGTCGCGTGCAAATAAATCGACTCCAGCATCGAGTAGTTGCTGTATTGTTGCTGCAGCGGCGGATGTCCTGCCACTTTGGACAGCCCAGTGAAGGGCGGTCATTCCATGATCATCTGTCGCCGTTATATCTACCTCCTTCTCCAGAAGTATCGAGAGGATTTTTTTACTTCCACCATATGCTGCGTGATGGAGAACTGGACCGGTGTGAACAACTTGTTTTCTTTCCACTGCTTGTCCAAAGGATAAGTGGAACATCGGCATAGGTGCAGATGTAGCCAGTGAACCAGAGTTCTCAAAGGAATCAAGAAGTTCACTAAATACCTCCACGTTGCCGCAATTTGCGGCGCTATGCAATGCTGTCAGCTGGTTGAAATATTGATGAGATTCCGATATATTGTGATCAAATAAGAGCTGGACTGCTCTCAGATTCCCTTCTTGAGCCGCGTGATGTAATGGTGTCATCCCCCTTTCGTCGAATGACGTTGTACTGGCTCCAGCATTGATAAGAAGCTGCACGACAGAGGTATGACCTCCGGAAGCTGCTAGATGAAGTGCTGATTCTCCAGTGGCATCCACCGAATATATATCTGCTCCGGCTTCGAGGAGGAGACGTACGATTGCCTCATGGCCCATGGAGGCCGCCCTGTTCAGTGGCAGCAATCCTGATGAGTCCGGTAGAGAAGAACTAACCCCGGCGTCCAGGAGAATTCTTGCAGCTTCCGTACGTGCAGACGAGACTGCCAGATTCAGGGCTTTTTGACTAGCATGAGCACCCAAATTCAAGAGCAATTTAATTAGCTCCCCATTCCCTCGATCTGCTGCTGTTTCTAGTACAGTATGCGGTGTTCCAAGGCCTTCCATATGAATATCAGCTCCCCGGTCCAAAAGCTGCTGTACTATATCGGCATGGCGTCCAGCTACCGCCCAATGCAATGGCGACACTTGACCAAAAAGCAGAGAACCATCGTCACTAGTGCGATCCAGCATCGCCGTCAGACCCATTGACCCCTTTGCTGTTGGATCGCGGAGTGTGTCCATCAAATGGTAGGGCATGCTTGATGGGCTGGCTCCATTCTCGAGTAGGAGAGCCACGATGTCTTTGTGCCCTTTATAAGCAGCCCAATGTAAAGCCGTCAAACCAGGGAAATCGAATGCAAAGACATCCGCTCCAGCATGGATAAGGAACTTTACCACTTCAATGTGTCCACCGTATGCTGCCAAGTGGAGTGCAGTTGTGCCCTCGAGTGCGTCTCTCTGAAGCATCAAACGTATTAGCAATTTACAGAGGGTAGTTGATATAGGATATTGGATACTTTGAAGTCTGTATGAGGGTGAATGATATTAAATTTTTTGGATTCTTCATTCAAAGATTCAGCTTCGTGTCTGTATGATGCAAGGTCGGCCCCAGCAGTAAACAGCCTCTGCACTCCTTCAGTATTCCCGTCCAAGGCTGCCTGAAGGAGAAGTTCTGTATTGGAGTACTGCTGAGAGCGGGTTGCAGGCACGTTGGAAGTAGTCGTCACGAAATTGTCGGCAGGGGATACAGGCAGTTGGCTGCAAACCCCTCGTTCAGCAAGTAACATACTATCAGTGCCATCGAGATTTCTATCGCAACATTGGAGTTTGCAGGGGTCATTGTCCACCATGACCGAAATTGACCTTGCCGTATCCGAATGAGCCAATCGCCAGATGGCAACCAGGCAAAAAACAGTTTTAGTTGAGTGACGCATGTATAATATCACAGCTAGGTGATTCTTTGGGACGTGCTGAAAATCCACAAACCAAGTTTGTGCATGTTATTGCTTCGAACCGAACTGTCAGGTGTTGGCCACCAGTAATCTTTGTTGGTTGGGCTTGCAAAGAACCTTTTGGATAGGGGATGGTTGGTGAACTTGAAATGCGACCTCGGGATTTTTGAAACTGAAATCCCCACTAGCCTGATTAGGCATGTCAAACTTAATACGGATTGAAATTTGCAGAGAAATTGAAGTCGATATTTTGAAACCAGTTCGAAACAAGCTGGCCAATTCCGCATCCATGGGCCCGTCAATGCACCGTATTCTTGGAGGAGCTACACCAGGGCGATGTTTTTATTTTCTAAAGCTTCGTCCAATGGAGATCTCCCCAATATAGTAGTGCTATTGACTGATGCGCCGTGGTCAAGCAGGAACATTGTTAAAGAAATATTACCCTGTGATGAAGCTCTGTAAATGAGAGTTTGCCCACTAGGTTTTGGCACATTGACTGGACCATCATGCTTGAGTAGCATCTTTGCTGTCGAATAAGCATCATATGTTACGGCAATGAAAAGAGGGGTCTCATCTCGATTATCAGTCAGCGCAAGGTTAGCCCCTCGCTCAACAAGAAGCTTTGCCATTGGAGAGTAAGCATCGTCAATGTCGTTGTGAAGGGCGTGATGAAGAGGGGTAGCAAAGGAAATATAGGGGTCGATAAATTCGTCTCCGCGCACATTGACATCTGCCCCACAAACGAGCAGCATTTTGGCCATCACGAGATCGCGGTTTTCAACGGCCACTTGCAATGGAGCCCTCCAATGTGTGGAGAGTTCGTTCACATCAGCCCCGTTGTCTATAAGGAACTTAGCCATTTCGGGGCTCGTGGCAAAATGCAAAGCACTTCCATAATCATCCTCGAATCCATAATCTTCTGCGAAGTCTGATGCGCTAGGAAGGCGAGCCACGGGGCCTTTGACGGGTGCACCCATTCTCAGTAAAATGCTTGTCCCTTCCATTTTGTCATGGGAGAGCAGACCTTGCGGAGTATCTGACGTTGTGTCGATAGAGGTGCGGAAGTAGAAGTCGGTACAGTTTTGAGTCAGTTCTCAAAAGGGAATAGATTTCCTCTCCGTGTCCAATTTCTCGGCAATCAGAGATATGATCTCCGGCGGCAAGGCAAGGAAGCGCATTATAGAAAGAGAAAAGGGAAACAGTCCAAATGCTGCAATAAGATTGAGACGTAGGAATTGTGAGCGGGCTCGAAGCGACAAACGGGCCCATCTCGGTTAGTCAATGACGGGAAGTGTCGGAACTAGCGACTGACCTCGAGCACATTAGTTACCCTTTACATACACCTGAGCAACTCAAGAAGTTATCACTTCCCAAGTAGTTATGTAGTTATACATACAAAGAACCTGGGCAAACATACACCAAATCAGCCTGCGGCTTTCAGTCTCTGGAGGGTCAACGTATTCTATGGTCCCGCTGGTTTATCTACTTGATATCCGAATTCCGGTCTATCACTAAGGAGACAAATTTACACTCCACGGAATCAGGGCATACGTACGATCAGGGAGCCCGCTACCATGATGTCAGCAGGTATCTTCATCGCTGAAATTGGGGTTGGGGTTTGAGAGCCTGCATGATTTAGGCAGAAGCGAAAATACGCCCTCAAATAGAGTATTTTCCAACACAGACTTGCCCTAGTCGACCATGTGCAGAATAATTTGATTGATTGCTCGATCGAAGAATGAAGATTATCGTTATCAGTACGTTATGACTATTATGCCCATCAATGTGGCAATAACTGGCCGCAGTTAGAGCTACCTGCGGGAAATCCCTCTTGTGCGACGCCCTTTCAGGAAGATATCGAAGTTCTCTGGGGTCAGAAAATTGCATGTAGCTGCATGCCTCCGATCAGTATCCCCAGGACGAGTGGATTCCATTGCTTCCTCAAAAATAGGACCCGCGAAATGCTGTGAGAATTCACATATAGCTTCAACTTTTTCAACCGTAACATCCCTCCCGTCCTCGCGCATTACGATAACATTACCGACATCAGAGAATTGAGATAGCGAAGAAAACCCCCAGTTTGGACGAAGCGGGTCTGTCTCAGTCATGAGAAATGTCACAGCTTGGTTGTTCGAAAAATTGCATCCTAAGGAATCAAAGTTCAAAACCCCTGGCATAGTTCCCGGAGATTCTCCTTCTATTACTCTTCGAAGCAGTAGTGGGATCCCCACCTTTTGGGAGATTGATGCCCTCATACTTCTTTCGCTTGGAAGAACACGTATTAAGTGTTCCCTTGGGATCCCCACAGGTGCAAATCGGGGACTGCCGTGCAGCTCCATCTCGCCATCGCTGTTGATTTGAACGCCCATGACTTCGCCATGGATCTTTCTCGGTATCTGCTGGTGAATCGTATCATATTCGGTTACTCTAGAGTAGTTGTACGTCGTAAAGTAATCCAAGGCATCGCGAAAGTCATCAAGAGTGATATTTTTGTAAGTACCATAGATTTGCCGAAGAATGAGAACGGGGCCGCGCCACTGGTATGCGGATGTTTCAGATGATCCTATGCAATGCATGATGCTCGCGTTCAACTTTGATCCGTCTCGTAAAAATTCATCTCTATATTTGACCACAAGTTGGTAGTCAAGATTACGACCCCGGCGTGGATTGTGGTCAACAACAGAGCTTGAGACAGTCCGCCCCAAGCCCAAAAGTGAATGAACATCTGCTGTGTGAGAGACTTCCCTGGAATACTCGTCTTTTTCTGGTCGTTCACAACGGACCCACTGCAATTGAGGATGCACCTCGTTCTCCGGGAATTTGACTGCTAATCGGTATTGGGGACTGTTTGGTGCTGAAAGAAGCGATATTTTCTTGCACAGCAGCTTGTGACTAGGCCAATCAGCCTTTTGATGCCCTTTGTCGCAGTAATGAGCACTTTTGCAACGAGCACATCGTTTTGGTTTTGGATTTCCACATATCACGCAGATTATTCTGGAAGCGATAGAATGGTCAGTGATCGCTGATCGTGAAGTTTGAAATCCAGTGTTTTTTCTAGTTTCTGTAAGTAGGATTTGTTTATACGGTGTCAATAAAGCGCTTACAGAGCTCGTTCATTCTCAATGTAAGCGGACTTTTCGGTTTCATGGGTTTCAATGAGAATTTCTCGTACTCGAGGCGCTAGTAGCTCCTGGCTATGAAGCGTCGATACAAAGGAGGACTGTGCAACATTCTGGTAGATGTTATAGCCCTTGCCAACCACATAATGTCGTATTCTTTCCACAAAATAATGCTCTAATGTGATCAGAATTGAAGGGGAGTTGACGAACAGGGGATGAGGGATACCCCAATCTGGGAAACAGACTCCATGCCTTCCCCTACTGAGAATGATGGGAGAGTGGGTTCTCATCAGAGCCTCACAGAGGAGACATGTTCTTTTGCTACAGCCAAAGTAGTCAAGGAATGGCTTCATGTGTGGGTTAGCAGAGTGCCATGCTAGCAACTGGACTTCCGCGTGGGCGTATAGTCCCTCTTTGGATTTGGAATTGAAGCTCGACCATGTGGGCACAGGATATTTCGAGTTGCTCAAAAGCTTTTGCTCGCATTCTTCGAGCCCAAGTCGTCGTAGTGCATCTTTAAAAGAAATGATATATTCGGGCTGCAATTTAGTAGGCTGTGGTCGAGGGATATGGTGAATTTCAATTTTGCGGAATTGAGGGAAGTTAAGCCCGATCTGTGCAATCAAACGGCAATTGTGGATTGGGCGTCCGAGGAAGCGTAAGTTTCGCCACAAATGTGACTTTTGTTTCTTCGTCAGCGTATCAGGGATAATACCTATGTTTCCAGATCTTGTAAATTCGTATGCCAGTCTGGCTAGCCGAATTCGACTTTGAGGATCATCCGAGGATCGGGGCTGACGTATGATTTCAAGGATCTCCGATAAAACGACGTTATTTTGAATTTCGATCGTTGCGACACTCAAAATCCTTTCTGCATGTTTCGTGAGGCGCTTGTGGCTGAATTCGACCGCAACCTCCTCAAAATTATAGCATCCAATTTCTCTCGTCTTCTCATCTAATTCGGAGGGAATCAGCTTTTTCTTCCGAAAGTATGGTTCACACACAATGTGGACGAATACCTACCACATGATGCTTGAGCCATTAAACACTCCGTAATAGCTCTTTCCAGGCCGTCCCAGGTGTGCAAACCTTTCTCGAACCCCGAGTTTGCCGCCACATCGACATAAATAGCATTTTGGGTCACCCTCAGAGAGGTGGCTATGACACCGCCCCAGCCATGTTCTGGAGACATGAGTTCAGCGAGACAGTCAATAAATTTCTCCTTGGCACTCTGGGTAGGATTGACCAGGATTTCGACTTTAGTGGTTCCTGCCTCCAATGCATCGGCCAGATCATCATCCTCGGACTCCAGGGTTTCATCGTCTGATGAATCTAGGCTACTTTGCGAAACCTGAGGATGAAGGTATCCCAAAATTCGGGAAGCCCACGTAGTGCGTGCAAGCTGGTACTCAATACTCGTCATCGCGCTTAGCTGGACACAGAGATGGGAGCCAAAGGAGACGATGAGGTTCAAAACTTGTAGTCGTTGGCTGATTGGTCCAAAGGCAGCAGGCTATTCTTGATGGCGTGGAGATTTTCGCCGGTTTCTCCTGGGGTATCGCGGGGTGTTGGGTAAAGAAACAATAGCTAAGGAGCTGACTCGAGGCCTCGTTAGGCATTGTATTTGCATGACTGAGGAATCTCACCCCGCCCGACCGTTTTCAATACAGTGACGAGACAGGAAATCGTATTATACTGATCGTTAAGCACTTTCCAAGTTGTCAAGCGATACAGGACTATCGATACTCCGGTTAAAACCCGGGCATTGGACTAGCGTATCTTGGCATCAGTGATGACACCAATATCCGAAGATACTGTATGGACAAATATGGTTCTCTGCTTTGGAGTTTTCCCCAGTAGATATAGTGAATTGTTGCTGTTGTATACTTCGGGTATACTTCAGAGTGGCGACGTCATGTGTTGTTCTGCCCGTTCTGACCGTCCTTGATAGTGGGGCTGATACCGTGACTGGCCCAATTTGGAAAGGTCACTCCTTATCAGTTCAGCCCGACTGCTAGGACTTCCAAACAAACCAGCCCCCTTTGCGCTTTCGAAGATTGTGGCCATCCAGGTACCCAGTGCAGCTGGTGGGATCTCACAGAATAACAGCTTGGATCGAGATACCCAACAGGCACCGTCTTTGCCACGACAGCCCCTTGACTCCTGCATCACGAGACCACTCCAATCTGCATCCTTGAGCCTCAGCGTGTGATTGCCACCCTGGCCCACGCATAACGAGCCATATCGGGCGAAAGATCTAGTGCCGCGCCCGTTTTACCTTGTCTACCTCTATCTCATGACGAAGGGACTGCATGGTTACGGCCGAGAGTGATCTCGCAGCCCTCTCAACATACTTTGGAATCTAATATACCCCCGAGTTCCCTGGATTGGCGCTCAAAATGTCTCTCTCAAGTACCGCCTCATCACCGGATCTTTCGACAATCCCTCCTGGCGAGGATATCGTGCCCCACGAACGGGATATACAGACAGACCGTCGCGGGAGTGACGCCCCCGATGAAACCAGCTCGGCCCCTATCGTCCTCGATTCCGATTCCGACCCCAATGTTACCGATTTGTCTACACCCCCTACACACAATGCCCCCGCAGAACAAGCTCAGACTCAAACACACCCCGGTGAAGCGGCCGGCCGCGACGCCTCTGTCAGAAGCCTGCCCCATAGATCTGCCGCTCCAGCAGAACGTCGTTCGCAAAATCAGCCCGGACGGACAGGAGCAACATACGATACAGCAATAGATATTAGCTCTTCACCTCCGACGCTGAACAGGGTGGAGCGAGTTCCCCGTTCCCCGGCATCCTTGTCTCGAAGGGTCTCGCAAAGATCTAGCTATATCGGCGACGAATACCCCGCACCGCAAAGAGGTCCTCCTTCCGCTGCATCTATCTTCGATGTCGATATGGCTCAAACACATTGGTCTGGTAATAGCCCGGGTCAATCTCATACTTCCGGGAGAAGGTCGTCCCGGGATAATCCAGAAGTGCCGGGGGCATATGGCGGTTACAGGTTTCCTGATATGATTCCGTCTCATAATGGCGCAGTCGAGGGAGGCAGCCGGGAGCCAGTATCCCGAAGAAGACCCTCATCCATGTTCATGCCCCACCCTTCACGAGATCTGGTTGATGGCTTCGAGAATATGATGTACGGACTGTCGCCTACTTCTACCCGACGATTTTCAGGAGGGTCGCCGCGCTATTACTCCGATATTGCCGGGCCGCCACGGCGTCAAAGCTCGGATTTCTATGACCCCAGCACACGCAACAGGTCCTTCTCCGATCGATACCCAGGCGAGTCTTCCCATCTCTCTCGACCAGGCGCCCACCAGCGATATTCCAGTATGAGCACGCCGAGGTGGCAGGGCCCCGAGGGACCCAGTCGCAATCGCCGTGACAGAGGTTCATTGCCTATCTCAGGGCAGACGCAGCGAAACACGACCCTCGACGATATTTTCCAAGATGTTAGTCTTCCGAGATGGCAACCCGACTCGGAGGTATCCGGTTGTCCAATTTGCGGGACAATTTTCAGCTTCTGGCATCGGAAACATCATTGCAGAAAGTGTGGCCGAGTTGTCTGTGCTGCATGCTCGCCTCACCGGATTACAATCCCCCGACAGTATATTGTTCGGCCGCCGGAGTCCACAACCACCCCGCCTCCTGGCTCTTCGCCATCCTCCTCAACTAATGTAGTCGATCTGACAGGCGAGGATGCCCCAACCTCGCACTCTGTCCTCAATCCTGCCCTGGGAGGCGGGGAAGAAGTTCGTCTATGTAATCCTTGCGTACCAGATCCCAATCCCAATCCACTTGGATACGAGGCTCTGCGCCAACATGGTCACCGCTCCACCCATTCCTTGTCATCCACGATGGGAGGTGCCTGGACGGTAAGTACTTCAATCACGGCTTCTTACCTGCTTCCTAGATTCCAAGCTAATCAAATACATATTCAGCCCGAGAGCCGCGGTTCACGACAAGGTCGACTGACTGTTGGAGCGAATGACCGTCCTTCGACCCTGGGAGGACTCCGCCAGGATGTTCAGCGATCGTCCCAAGCCCCACCAGGAGAGCGAACCCCACGAACCAACTCGCTATATCCGATATTCAATCCACCACAGCAAGCGCAGCGTCCTTCGGCAGTTTCCGAACGTGATCTCTGTCCCATCTGTGGCAATCGATTCCCACCACTCGATGACGAACATCCCGCCGAAGCCCGTGAAGCGCATATCCGGCAATGCATCGATGGATACGGGGCAAGTCGTGAATCTCCCGTCAGTCAAGGTCCCGCGGAGGGCCCGGCAGAGCAGGCTCCGCTACAGTCTCCTCCCATCGCTCGCATGCTGGCATTCACCGCGACGGAGAAGGACTGCCTCGGTGGCGATGGTGCGGTAGCTGAGTGCACGATCTGCATGGAGGATTATGAGGTTGGGCAGGTCCTAGCCCGGTTGGAGTGTTTTTGTAAATTCCACAAGGAGTGTATTGTGGATTGGTTTGGGAGGAAGGCTGAGTGCCCGGTGCACAAGATGTCGTACTAGTAGAAAGGGTAGAATTAGACTTGGAGGTGGTTGATATGATGTGATTTGCAATTTGGCGTTTGGATTGGGTGGTGTTTTGTTCCTTCTGTCAGTGCCAGTGCTTTTGTATATTCCCCTCATCGCGATAAATATGTGTCCATCAGTGCCAATGCTTTATTCTTATCTGCTATACTCGTAGTATAACTATATCGATGCTATACTCATTGTAGCTGTTGCTGGTCTGGCCCGGTCACGTGCGCTGACCGATTTCACTTCGCTTTTCCGGGGCTCCTTTTGACTCTCTTCGTACTTCGTCCTACTTCATCCTCGTTACTTTGATTTGTTACAGTAATCCATGCTTATTTCTCAACTTCTGACAACTGCTTTACTTATATAACTTGAACGCCCCCTTTTCTACCAAGTCAGCGCCAAGTCTCCACAAGCCAACGAGTTCCACGTCGGAGATCGGTGCTTGCGTCCGCCGTGCTCCGCTCTTCTTTGAAAGTCGCAAAACAATCTTGAGTCTTCGCGGGGGCAATCCACACAAGAGAGCTGTCATTCAAGCCATTCCACCTCCAGCAGAGCGAATGAATTAGCTGTAGCCACCTCACTTCCCACCACGCGCGTTCCACAGCCCATTCAATTGGGCCCCCGCCGGAGGTCGCCAGTCTCCATCTCCGCACCACTGCACCGCTCGATCTCACCACGCGGACGGCGGCATCTTTTTCGCCGTCCCGACCGACTACCGACTCACTCGTCAACAATGTCCGACTATCCGGAACCCCCGTCACACCACTTAGCCGACTCGCATGGTCATGGTGCACCATTGGGAGATCGGCCCGGTCTCGACATGTCACACATACCCGAGACCTCCGCCGAACCCGACGACGCCAAACGACCACGCGCTTGTGAGCCCTGTCGCCAGTTGAAAGTTCGCTGTGACCCCGATCCAATACACCCACATGGCTCGTGTAAGCGCTGCGCTAAGGCGCATCGCACATGTATCACCACAGCGCCGACTAGGAAGCGCCAGAAAAAGACCGATAGTCGTGTGACAGAGCTGGAGCGGAAAATCGACGCCCTGACGGCCACCCTACAAGCTTCCCATAGTAAGCCATTTATGGGTCCGTCGCCACAAACGCAGCCATCTTTGCACGATTCAAGTTCTTCGGTTGCGGGAACTAAGCGTACTCATGATGGGTTTCTTGCTTCCCAGTATGCTCGCTCGGATAGTCCTTCCGCGCAACAGCTTCCGAGACCTTCGGACTCGGTGCACTGGCGTGGCCCGTATGCTGGGGACATTGTGCCTCCAAAGGAGAATGCGAATGCGTTTGCTGATGTTATCGATAAGGGAATCGTGGACATTGATTCGGCCAATGCGGCCTTCCAGCGCTATGTCACCCGCATGGCACCGGAGATGCCATTTGTGATTATTCCGCCTGGGACTACGATGGGTGATGTGCGTCGGGATAAACCTGCTCTCTTCCTGTCTATTATCGCTGCGGCGATCGGTCCGTACAAAAAGGATGTGCAGGTCACACTTCTCAATGATGCTTATCAAACAATTGCCGATCGCGTGGTTGTCAAGGGTGAGAAATGTTTGGAGTTGGTACAGGCGTTGATGGTTTGCTCTATCTGGTATCTTCCGCCAGACAAATTGGAAGAGTTGAAATTTTACCAATTGGTCCATCTCGCCGTGATATTATGTATGGATCTTGGTCTGAATCGTCCTGTCAGTAACGAGCCAAAACCTTTCATGAAACTTCGCGAGCAATTGATCAAAAAGCCGCCTGGAGATATGAAAGGTCCAGAGGCAAGAAGGACGTGGCTAGGATGTTATTTCATGTCGGTGCAGTAAGTTGTTCTCCACATTTGAATGCGTTACTCCTGGTGCTAACCCCGACAGGGTTTCTACTGCTTTAAGGCGAACCCAGCTTCTGAGGTGGTCCAGCTACATGGATGAATGTGTTGAGACCCTTAAAACGCATCCCGATGCTTTACCCACCGATCGCCAGGCAATCTGGTGGGTGAAATTGGCTTTCATCATGGAAGACGCTAGTACTCAGCTTTCTGATGACACCGAAAAACTTTCATCCTTCATCGATAGTAAGGTCCGATATACCATTCGGGGGTTCTCCAATCAATTATCGCAATGGAGGAGGGACATTCCAGACGACATATATTCAGGTTTGTATCTCAATTATTCAACCGGTATGGAATCTTTACTAACACCCCCCAGACGTCCTAGCGCACACCTATCATGTGCTAAATCTATTTGTACATGAAACCGCGATGGGCATCGACTGCAAAAACAATGGCATCATTAAGTCATCCTCAGGCGATCAGCTCCCGGCATCCGCGATTGCTCCACTCATCGATGCTTTGACCACCTGCATCAACTCAATTCACTACGCATTTGACATTATTTTGAGCGTTGACTCGGATAGACTCACATGTCTTCCAACAGTGGCACTGGCCAGAACATCATACCCCCTTGTTAGCCTGATAAAGATCCATTGTCTCCTCACCGCGCCGGACAGTCGCATTGGCCAAGTAATTGACATTGAGAGTCTGAAGTTGGAGTACTACCTGGATCATATCACGAACCACTACCGAAAAGCCGCCTCGCTCGGCGGTGGTCGTGCGGTAGCCAAATTCGGAAACATCATCACCATGTTACGGAATTGGTTTGTCAAACAGAAGGACAACGGCCCCGCTCTGAGAGAAATATTTGCCACGGAAACCAATTCAGAACCTGAAGTGAAACAACCGGTACGAGTTCTGGGATTTCCAAAAACACGAAGCCAGCAAGCCAGTACTAACAACTATCTAGATGCGAGGAAGCACCACCCCCCTCGAACTTCTCAGCATAGTAGCATCCTCCGGCCAAACAAAACAAGACACCGCAGACCCCTTCTCGGAACGCCGAAGTCAAATAGTCTACACCCCCTCAACCCTAACACCCGGTCTCCCACCAACCCAATCACCCAACCCAACAAGCCGACTGGACCCACTAAACCACCTACCAAAGCCAGAACAACCCTGGACCACACCAACCTCCTTCTCACCATCCATCCACAACCAAAATCCATCTATATCATCCATGACACCAGTCTCAACCACCGAGTCAGATCAAACAAGGCCCTTCTACTCACAATACCCGCAACCATACACAACACCAAACCACAACCAACAAACCCCAACATTCGCAGAAATTCCAATGGGCGCTAGCGCTAGCACCGGCCCTGGCGCTGGCCCTGGTGGTACCATGCCCATGGCGCCAATGATGGGCATGCCCGGTAATGAAATGGACATGGATCCAAACTTCAATCCTGATAATTTCTTCGCCTTAGAAACTATGATGGATGAGGGGTTGTTTACTTTTCCGCTTTCGTTTGAGAATTTGGGGTTTAATGGGTTGCAGTTTTAGATAAGGTGGTGCGTGCGTGCCATCCATGTCTAGTTGTGAGGTGAGGTTCAAGGTTCTAGTACTCTATACTAGTGTATCTGCCTGTGTGTGTATCGTTTATATTTCCGGTGTTTTGGTCTATGGATAGCTTTGTTTTCTACGCTGTTATGATGGATGAGTCTCTACTCGATGTATTTATAAACCCAATCAAATGAGCCACTGACAGTGGCAATCTTCTAAGTTTTGTTTTGAATTGACCCATGAGCATAACCGGAATATCAGGAGATTAGTAAATATCGCCCTTGTGATCGTCCGAGTCGTCTTTGACATAATGGCCGAGGCGACGACGATGAAGGCAGCAGCGTCACTAAGACGTACTAGTAGTACGTTAAAGATGGCTAGTGTCCATTTCTTTCGTTTCATCTTTAGAAGCAACTGGAGCCATGTGTTCGGTTGTCTGAGTGAGTGTTTGCCTAAAGCCCAATTATACGGATCACAAGTGAGGTATTCATGAATATCAATTCCGGAAATGGAACAAAGAAAGAAGAACCACGTCGGCTCCGAAGTTAGGTTGCTGTCTTAATCAGGATGTTAACTCATAAATTGATTCTCAGCTGACATATTTCCGTTTGAATTCCCTCAAATGGCCTCTCCATCTTCCCGCGTTCATCGCAAACCTCCAAATCTTCAATCACATACTCCGCCATAACATCTACTTTACACGGCGGTGGCAGATTCTCCCAAACCCTACGCACAGCCGCGCTTGAAACCGGAATCTCAATAACCTCATACCCACACCGTTTCGACTCCCAGACCAGCCAAAGCGCCAGACCTTTCATAATGCCCCTTCCCTCATAATCGCCCCTCGTCACAGACCCCTTTCTCATCAAGACTTTGCCCAATAGTGCATATCTATACCCATCCCTAGCCGAGGCCGGAATGAGTGATTCAAGGTGTGCACATGCTTGCTTATAGCCAGGTCGGATGTCAAGATACCACTGCACTTTGTCCTCATCAGGTGGATTTGCTGCATCATGGCTTAATGCAATAGAGACAAGAGGAAAGTCGATTTGGTGGAGAAGCTGTTTCGATGATGCTCTGATATCGTTCTCGTCCCAGTGTAGCTTTCCGCCTGTTTTGATTGACGAGGAATAGCGATATTTGTATTCAGTATCGAAAACGCCGAAGGACATATTTGACTTTATTGCGTGGCGGACTAGATAATCAACTGCATGGTATTGTTGATATGCAATGATTGTCTGGTTTCCAGAGTCTACAGTTGGGCAGAATGAGGATGGAGATGTCTTGCTTTGTACAAGAAGAGCTTTTACCGCGGATAGATCGGCGAGCGTGAGTTTGCGGATTCGGTAGCGAGGTGAGAGAGTGCGTGGGGTTTGTTCTCTTGTCATTTTGGTCGTCGGCTAGGTTTCTAGAACTTGAATGGAAAAGGGTTGTGGAATTGGTGGATTATCTTGTGATATCAAGTTGGAATTGCGTGCTCAGTGTCTGCGCAGCCTTATTTATATCCATTACTTGAAGCGGGAAATGAATGGTGACGAGTCCCTGGATTGGGAATTCCGTCGTGCAACGTTATGCATAGTAGATAAGACACACACTGCTCAGGTTGAGCTGTACTTGGCAAGGCTCCTTGATTTTTGTTGGAGCCAGCGGTACCGAACACGAACAACGGTCATACACCCAGGCATACATTAGCTGAAACGGAGTGAAGTTACATCATTCATGGAATGTAATGTATACATGAGCCGCATACTATGTAGATGAATAGGTGGGACCATCAAATGAACCTATCAAAATTATGACGATGCTGCCGATCTTGAAATGACGGGGCACTGTAAGCTTGATATTATCCTTTGTAGATAGAGATAAGATCGACAGAACGGCTGATCGATATGCATTCTTCCAAGCCGCTTATCATGATAAGTAGTATTCCATGCTCTGATTTACCCTTTACGATAGACAGCTGTTTGATGTTACAGCGTCTCATAGAGTCGAAAGTGCTTGAAATACGACTAAAGTAACAAAACCTGAGGTATATTTTCAAATAACATTTATAGTACGCGCGTCCCTATTCGTGGACGGCATTCAGGGGGTGAGTATCGTCGTCATTGCTTTTGTACGACCTGAGAAGCATGTACGGGGTATATACCCCTAGTTATCCCTTGATTAGTGGCTTACCATGTTCCTGAATCTTCAAGTTAGCTTACACCGTAGTTTGTTCTAACCGATTAGAATCGAGAAACACATGATGGCAAACGTTGAGGTTTCTATAGACAATGATGATGTCTACAACCGATTTTCGCCTGGGCGAAAGGCGATTATCACCATGGTCCTTGTTTGGTCATCGTTTCAGTGCACACTCGCTACAACCACGGTCATCTCGGCTATTCCAGAAGTAGGCGCCACATTTCACACGACGGAAACCACTATCGCAATTTCCAATGCCGTGATGCTTCTTTGTCAAGTTGCTGGCCCAATTCTCTATGCCCCAATCGCCAACACAATTGGTCGCCGACCGATTCTCCTTGCGACAAATGCTATAGTGCTTGCGTTTAGTCTGGGAACCGGATTCGCCCCGAATCTTCCAAGTTACTTTATCTTTCGATTTCTCACCGCACCTCAAGTGACAGCCAGCCAGGTTATTGCAACTGTCGTCATTGGTGACATTTACCCAGCCGTCACGCGCGGCCGTGCACTAGGATGGCTGATGGTGAGTACCACTCTCGGGCCGGGTATAGCACCTCTTCTAGGCGGAGCGATAGTATCCTATACCTCCTGGCGTGTGATATTCTGGACACAAACCGGCATGGCTAGCCTGTCGGTGCTTTTACTGGCCATATTCCTGCCAGAAACAATTCACGAAAAGAAAACTGGGATCTTCGACGACTTGCCTCTTAGCGGAAAGGTGAAGCAATTCCTTCAGCTGATTAATCCATCGGAGATAATCACGCTTCTGATTTCAGCCCCGGGTCTAGCAATCAATGCCATTACAGTTATCACCCTACACTGGAATATGTACTCCACCCTCACGCCGATCCGAGAGGTGCTTAATCCACGCTTCCATCTCAGTTCACCTCTACAGGCAGGTCTCTTTTATCTGGCACCCTCTGCAGGATTTTTGACCGGATTATTCTGCGGCGGGCAACTTTCAGACTGGGTAGTGCGACGGTACATCCGACGACGCGGGCGAAGAGTGCCAGAGGACCGACTGAACAGTACAGTGGGCGTAGTGGGTATAGCCCTGCCAGTCTGTTCGCTCTTGTACGGCTGGGCAGTACAGCAGGAAGTCGGAGGAATTCCCCTGGTCGTGGTTGCGCTATTTCTTCAGGGCGTGTTTCAGGTGGTGCCATTTATCAGCCTGAATGTATATTGTGTTGACGTGATGGAGGGAACAGGGAAAAGCTCGCTAGCTGTCGCAGGAAGTTATATGGTTCGCAATGTGGCGGCGGCAGCGGGCACGGCTGCATGCCTTCCTGCCATTGAGGCGATCGGAGTGGGATGGTTTATGACTATCGCGGCAGGCTTGCTGGTGGTGGCTGCGGGCTTTTTGTGGTTGGCGACGCAACATGGGGAAGAGTGGCGGATGCGAGGCGAGGAAAAGTCCACTGAGTGCTCTCCCCTACCGTGGGAAAAATGATTGTATTTATTTTTTAGCTGCTTATGATGCTTTAATACTAGTAATCGTCTTGATCTACCTACTCCGATATATGCGGAGCGTTAATTCATAATAATCTAGTTCGGACTATACTACTGAGTAGTATTACTAACTACTGCCCAGGTGTATCTCTTCCACTGCAAAACCGGTTGAAGTGGTTCCTGAAGAACGTACGTATATGTAGTGGAACAAAAAGGTGATTTATGCAGGCTGACGGCAACCATTCACTTGGCATCCTACCCGGCTGGATACTCGGTACCCTGAGTTATCATGACGAAGCGATTTGGAAAGTAGAATAGCTTCACTGAGGCCGTCGCAGAACCTTATAGGAAAACTCGTAATTTTAGGACGCTGTCGCCCTGACAGGTGGAAACTTGAATACTGGGTAGATTGCGGCTATGGAGCTCTGTACACATTACATAGGGCCCGGAAACATATGATAGTACATTTGTGCTTTGTCATTCTCGGTTCATAATCGAACAATATGGGTATATAACTTTTTTATCGCGAATTTCCCTGCCATGTATGGAGAATCCGTTGTTCCACATATGCCCATGGCCATCCATTCTCTCGTTCAGTGCGACGAAGTAGATCGAATAATAAATTTTGGGCGAGAGGCTCGTCTATCCAAGAGCTGCCTGTGATGAGGAAGAGAGAGTCAGTACAAATTGCATTAACATGGGCATATTGGAGGAAACGTACAGGCGCACAAGGCATGGCAAGCCATGATGCGCAACGATGGCTCATCATCGGCGGATAGTGCAATACCAAAGAGATAATTGAGGTTTTCAGTAATTCGTGCCTGTAGTAGCCAACATTAGAACAGCGACCCAGGCATCATATCCACACTCAGTATTTACCTTGATTGAAACCCGCTGCTCGTGCGAGTTTTCATAGACCTCCGTCTCGCGAATTAATATTAGTGCCTTGGCAAGACACAAATGTTGCATTGCGGTAGCTGCCAAGGAGAAAGTAATATTAGCCCAAACTCCACACTGCCCTACGCATCCGCATTCGCATTCGCGTAGCACATAGCACATTCAAAACAACACTTACAATGCCATAAGCTTGTGTATAGCACAACCGGGAATGGCTTTCCTCGTGCGTGGTCTGGCGACGATATATGCAATGGGACAAAGGTATCCGGACGACCATGCTCCCATTCTAGAATCCTCTGCTTAAGAGCATTCTCGCCAGCAACACCCAAATGGCCGCCGTAATTCCGCCCTGAGACGTTATAACAAAAGTCAATCGTCTCGGCAAGAATCCAGATCGCCCGGTTAACCCAGTCGCCGTCGCTAAGGACCGGCTTGGCGACCCACCACTGGCGTAGGCGATCGTCGAAGGGGGCAAAGGTGAGCCGAAGGCATTTTTGGTACGTAAGTGCGAACTGGATGTCTTGAATTACGAAGACCCAGAAGGAGGCCGAGGCGAGGCCGCCGGAGATAGCGCAGTCCACATGTGAACTGATGTAGACAGACCCTGCGAGGAGGTGGCGCTGCGGGTCATTAGAAGGGGTGTGGGCTGAGAGTAGTGGGTTAGCTGGGGGACGTCGCTTGTCGGAGATTATGTGGGGGCCAGGGGATTGTTTAGAGATTAACGTACATGAGATTTGTTCGAAGAAGCGCAGGATCACGGTGGAACTGAGGAGAATATCAATACCAATGTCAAATTCGGGTTTGTCGAGCACTGGTAACATGATCGAGATACAGCGCTCGTGATAACTATCGGCGACATCAGGAGCGATCGTATTTGCCGTCCGAGATAGATGGCATGCTGATACAGCAATACATGCGTAAAGAAGTAGTGGGCATCGACTAGCCAGGTGGGCCACATCCGAAGTAAACCGGTGTTCCGGGTCCCCAGCATCGAGCTGACCAGTTAGTTAGTCATGCAGTATCAGATATTTGCAAGAAAAGGAAACTCACCCATGGTGCTAGGTACAGTTGGTAATGTCGAAGTAAATACGCCTCGTTTATGCTTGCCAGCCTTGGCTGAACAATGGGCGTGTTTGAAGAGAGGGGTGAATTTGCAGAGGTTGAACGTGAGCCACGAGAATCCGCGACATATAGAGGAACAGAATTATTCAGACCCTGAACAGAGGGGTCCATGATTGAGGACGAGGTCGAACGAGACTCCGATGGTGATCTAGAAGCCGATTTAGGTTCTCTCACGGACACAACATGATACTCTGATGCAGTCTGGTTTGTTTCATCTTTGAAGGAATCTGCAGGTCTAAAGTTAATTTTGTTCCTGATTATTTTTTATTCATTTTGCGTCTCATTTGCCGAGCATATGATGCAAGCTTTGACAAATATCGCCTCTCACTTACATTCAGAAGATGTTTCAACCCAGACCTGGTCATCTGGAAACGCTAGATCGCTCTCCCCGTATCTGGGGGGGGCCCTTTCCACGTAGAGACGGGTTCTGGCCGTGGCGAAAAGAGACCTCTTCAGATTTGCCGGGAGCCGGCACACATTCGCGACCAGATCGCTGGCACCGCAGACATTTTGCTCCCGATTTGTCACCTGTAGAGAGTGTTAGATATCGCACACGACCATGAATTATGTAGGAAACACCATATTACATTTCAAATGGCGCAGCCGACAGGTGAGGCTGAACAAGAATTCTGTCAGTAACTTGGCGAATTGGCGTTTGCGTAGGCATCCGAATTTGCACTCACCATCCCCTCATCACGCAGCGGAAGTAGCGGGGAGACACACGAAGAAGGAAGGTTTCCAGAAAGGAATCATAACTCGGTATTCCAGGCCCGAGGCCACGAGATAAATAAAGACCCCCCCCCCCCCGGAAACGGCCAGGCTACGATCCTGGATGATTGATGGAGCACTGCTAATCAATATCTTAAGCGGAGAGGGTGGGGATCACGAAATGGCATGGGTAGATCATAGCGAGTTTGCGTGGGTTTTTTGGAGTACCAACCAGCCAACGCCCGGGCTGTTGGAGATTAGCTTCGACCAGGAGGGGAGAATCCTCTTTGGTTTTGCCCCTCGACCTCCCCTTAGCGTGGGTGGATTTTGGTCTTGTTGGGTCGGGCGGGTTTCAAGGGTAGGCTGAGCTTCATGCGAATTGGTCCTGATAGAAAAAGAACCCGCCCGGCAGGGGCCCAGTGGTGGCCCGGCTTTGATTATGATTGCAACGCTCCCCACCCGCCCAGCGTTTTGACAGTCTCCTGCTAGATTTGGTTGGTACACACACCCCCACGCAACCGCAACAAACTTTTGCACTCACCCCGATCAAAACCGATCGTTGCCCGAACTAGAAAGATCTGGGAAACAGGGCGTCGCCGAGACGCCGCGACAGACCTCGGGAACCCGGCAAGGTGAAAACAAGCGAGTCAAACACGGTGAGAATTGTATACAATTTTTTGACTACGATGGATTACTGCGCCCGAGGCTTCCTTACTCCTCCAACGGCCCCAATTTTAGTATGCTCGTATTTTCCCTTATTTTTTTTTCTCTTTGTGCTGTGTGGGAAGGTCGATCCTGGCGACAGATGTTTAGCGGTATGCATCAGACCAATCACGGTAGGGAGGTACATGGTTAGGTTTGCAGTCAGAGATTTTTTTCGATGTTGATTGAATTCAAATGGGACTGTCATCATAGGTCATGTCATGCTGACTGTGGCTTGCTTGACGTGAGGTAATGCCGCGGCAAGTTCAAATGTCTAAGCTTTGAGATGCAAATTTAGCGCAGCCAGGGGCGACAAGCTGTCACCCACTTGAAACCGGACATTTTTCACCGAATTACCTGGTTCAGGGGACACGTCCGTTGATGCCAGCCATATTTTCGGGACGATTTTTCAGCATTGTTCAGCAACCGCCCATATGGCAGCAGTTATTGTTGGTACTAACTCTAAGAAGGCACGCTAGAGGTACATACAGACTTTCCTGCCCCTCCGCGGACCGAGTTTAGCCAGGAGCGCGCCATCACGATAATTGGATCGGCGACGCCGGGATCGACTCCTGTACCTGACAAATCCCGCAAAAGTTGGTTGGAAGTTGGTGGCACAGGAGATTCGGTGGCACAGAAAAAGCCGAGTGGGGCCAATCGAAGAAGGCAATTCGGCACTGTCCGTGATTGCTTCGGGTTTCATTTCACTGGACCCGTGGATGGCGTACTCCGGACCCGTCGAACCCTGTCGATCGTTGGGGGGTTGGAGGCGTACGAAGCCGATGCTATGATTCGGTGAAAGTGAGGACTGTTGGGCTCGAAGATTCCGTGACGCGTCTGCAGCCCACAAAGTTAAATGAGCTTTGCCGGAGGTATAACCAGAGTAGTGTGCGTTCGTCCGTGGAGGGTGTGGGGAGGACCAGATGCCGAGTCTTCCAGCTGCCTTTTTCAGATCATGTGCCGGAGGTAGACCGAAAGAGGCATCTCTTGAGAGTTGGGAGATTAAACTCATGTACTATCGATGATGAATTGAAGTATAATCCACCCTGTAAATCCCGAGTTCACTCGGGGACCATTGAGACTCAATGAACACGAGGTAAAGACTCAATAGCCATAGTTAACATATACTTCGTACGACTGAAGTCTGGAAACAAGCACGTGTTTTATGCTTATCTGCCACGCTCGCGTTTCCGCTGCCGCTGCCGCCAGCCGCCAGTCTTTGTTTTTGTTTGGGAAGGCGCGATGGGATTAAGCGGGGGAGTCAGGTGACTCCCCGGATTCCTTGTTTTGGGACATCCTGACAACGTCCATTCCCAGCTCCAACCAGAGAAGGGGAAATAAAGATGTCGCTCAACCGCATATCGTTCCTCGAAGGGTGGGAGCGGAATCCGGCGGCCTTTCTGCGGGGGCGACTGGAGGAAACGGGTTCCACGGCCTCTGATGAAGAGTCTGACGTGGATCAAGACTTACCAGAATCTCTCTCCTCCTCTTTCCCCTCCACCTATTCCAGACTCAATTTCAATCCATATGCTGGCCCCGCCTGGAGCGAAAAGAGGTGACGATCACGATGATCGTTCACTGAGAGGTGTATCCCCCACCACGCGGGATACGAGTACTCGTGCGGAGCGGGGGTGGGCACCGGGGCCCGTGGCACTGCCCGAACCCAAAGCCAAGTCTAGGGACTGGCTATCGGAAACGACCGGGGCCTTCGAAGTGAGCCCCGCCAGGCGAGTCGGTATGCCGAATCCCTCCCCATCCCATCTCCAGTGCGAAAACAGAGGCTTGAGACCTTAGGATTGCATCGCTGACCCACTTTCAGTCCAGGTATGTGTGGCAGTCGTGTATTGCTTTGTCTCGGCCGGCATTGTCTTTGGATTCGCTGCTTTGAAACCGGTACTCGTCAGCGAGAATGTGTATCGAAACTATTGCTCGTTGGAGGAACTAAGACAGAATGTGCTCATCTGTGACGGGCAGGAAATTCGGTATGTCCCGGGAAGAGCGTCCTCATCCTCGTCTCATGCTCATATCTATACGAAAGCTTGAATTTGATGTTCACAATTGCCGCTGTTGCAACCAATGTTTCTGCTCTCCCCGTGGGGACCATTCTGGATTCCTGGGGCCCACGAGTCAGTGGAATTATTGGGAGTGTGCTTCTGGCCTTTGGCGCCATCATATTCGCATTTGCTGATCAGTTACCATTCGACGGATACATTCTGGGCTATCTACTACTATCTTTGGGCGGGCCCTTCATCTTCATTTCCTCCTTCCAGCTATCCAATACTTTCCCCTTACGCTCAGGCCTTATCCTGTCGTCATTGACCGGGGCGTTTGATGCATCCAGCGCAGTATTTCTGATGTTTCGCCTTATCAACGAGCGCTCAGGTGGCGATTTCTCTGTCCAAAAGTTCTTCCTCCTCTATCTCATCGTTCCGGTGTTTATCACCGGGGCACAACTGACTCTGATGCCCGCAACATCGTACAAAACTGCCGGTGAACTAGTTCAACATGCTGAGACACAGATAACAGAAGAACGAAGAGATCAAACTGACACAGCAACCGAAGATCGAGATGAGAGTGAAAGACAACGCCAAAATCGCCGCGCTCAACGACAAAACATCGTCCATCAAATCCAAGACCTTCTAGATGACGGCACCGCTTCTGTTTTCTCGGCGACTGGGGTTGACGATACTGTATTCAGCGGTCTCTCAAGCCCTCGTCGTCCACTCTCCCCGCGGTCCGCTCGCTCACGACCTGACACCCCCAAACCCCTGCCGATGCCACCAAATGCACCAAACACAAACACCAGTGGCGTCTGGGGTGTCCTCCACGGCCAAAGTGCACTCTCACAACTACAGACCCCGTGGTTCGCATTGATAGCCCTCTTCACCGTTCTCATGATGCTTCGGATTAATTATTTCGTGGCATCCCTACGTACGCAATACGCTTATCTGCTCGGCTCATCCTCCGAAGCTCGAACCATAAACTCTGTTTTTGATATTATGCTCCCAGTCGGTGGCCTTTTCTCGATTCCATTCATTGGAACATTCCTCGACAAACTGCGAACGCGTACTGTGCTCATGATTCTCGTTTCGACGGCCACCATGATGGGTGTGCTGGGCTGCATAGCACATAGCACAGAAGCTGCCTACGCGAACATAATTCTTTTTGTACTCTACAGGCCTTTCTACTATACCGCAGTTTCCGACTACGCGGCGAAGGTGTTCGGCTTCCAAACCTTCGGAAAGATCTATGGGCTAATTATCTGCCTCGCTGGCGTGGGGAATTTCGCGCAAGCTGGGCTTGATGCGCTTACTCTGAAGGTCTTTGATGGGGACCCGGTGCCTGTGAATGCCGGTCTGACGATCGTAGTCGCTGTTGTCGGTGCTTCGCTAGCTGGGTATGTGAGTTGGCAGACGAGTGTTCTGCTCGGCTCGGCTACTACCGTCGAGACTCGGGAAGATCACCCGGGCTTGATTCACAGAGATTGGGAACGAGAGCCATTATTGACGAGATCTGGGAGCATTGAAGGGGGTGGTCAGCGGGCCTATGGCATATAAGCCATGTAAAGTGATATTTGATGAATGCTATATTGATGAATTTGAACAATGCAAATAATGCAACTAACAGAATGCCAGAAGTGAGCATGTACATGAATGAATCATTAGTTAAAATCAACAAGGTATAGGTATATAACATATCGGAGAACGCGTAACATCGATGCCTCTTTTCGGGTATTTGCACTTGAAACCTCGCCATTTATACAAATGAATCGAACACAGCCTTTGTGCAACGCCCGCCCTTCCATAGTTTGTTCAAATGCTATTCCGAGTCGACGACTCTGCCTCGCGTATGACATCTGCAACGACTTTTTCAGACAATGACCAGCCATCGCCATTCTGTTGGCTAATCCCATTTAATATCCGACGAGCCTCATCGGAGATGAGATTCACATCAGCCCCGTAGGAAAGCAACTGGCCGATAACCTTGACATGGCGTTGGTTGGAGTGTCGTTTTGAATGTTCGATGATTCTGCGAAGAGCCTTGATGGCTACTGCGAGAGGAGTCAAACCCGTTCGTTGCATGACATTCACCCTGGCGCCATTTTCCAAGAGCACATTCGCCACGGAGGGCCAGCCTTCCCGTACGGCATGCATAAGCGGAGTTCGAAGGACGAGGTCTCGAGCCTCAATATTCGCACCGTGGCGAAGTAAGATCCGGACAGTCATGTCTTGACCTCTTGAAGCAGCCAACGCCAACGCTGTCCTGCCTTTGTGGTCTCTGTGCTCGACCTCGGCGCCCTGTTGTAGAAGGAGTCGTGCCATGCTGCCGTCGGTTGTTTTGAAAGTATTGCACGCGTTGAGAAGCGGCGTGCGGTCCATGAGGTCAACTTCCTCGATTCCCGCGCCGTTCTCAATCAACAACTGCGCGCCCGCGACGAAGTCGGAAAATGCCGCGGTGTTCAGTAATGGTGTCATGTCGAAGGCCGTGCTGCAGATATTCAGCTCGGCTCCGTGATTTAGGAGTAGTTTCATCATGATCAGGGAGGCCTCGATAGTCCCCTGGCATCCTGATTTAGGGGATTGGATATCCACACATAAGCGCAGCGCATTGTCGCCGATATTGCTTGTTGCAGTGACATCGGCGCCGTGTTCTATCAGGACGCGTACGGCACGATCGCGTCGGTGATATACGGCATAAAGCAAAGGTGTCAAGCCGCGATAGTCTCTTTGATGGATATTCGCGCCCTGGTTGAGGATCGATCGGAGTGATTCCTCGGTGCCCAGCACGGCGTAAAATAGAGCGGTGCGGCCGAGATTATCCATGTGCTCCACATCCGCACCCCCAGCCAACAGAGCCTTCACGACATCATCCCGGCCACCCTGCAGTGCGAAATGCAAGGGAGACTCACACAACGCGGGCTCAGATTCTAACCCATATTGCAGTCCGGGTTCTGACGCAGCTCCAGCTCCAGCTCCAGCTATATCGACATCGGTGGGACAAGGGTCCTGACTCAACCGAGGTTTCTTCCGGTGGCCATCACTCACCCCTTGAGAATCGGCCAACCCATCTTCCGAAGCGACATTCCGCTTGAGAGTCTCCATCAGCTCGGGCCCCATTTGAAGCCCGTCATGAGCCCGTTCTGATGAAGACGTGCCTGTACCTGGGCCGGTGCCTGGGGTGGCAGGTTCAGCAGATGGCGGCAAGGTCAACATTTGCCGCCCCGCGACGGGTAGACAGCCGCTAGCCGCTTCGGGAGCGGGGGAAGTCGGGTGAGCCGCGCCTGTTGATGCCTTTCGTATAGGCGATTTGCACCGCAGCCATTTCCAGCAGGAGGGCATGGATGCTCGATTGAGGTTGTTTGACTCTTTATATCTCCATAAAGTTGAGTTGTAGATAGATTATTTCCAGCCCCAGCGTAATGAGACATCTTTTGTTGGGGGCATACGCTAGCAGCTGATCCGACTCCCTGTGGCGTCAACGTGCATATGCGCGTGGCCAGGATGTTAGTAATACTGTCAAGTGATATCGACGGGGTGGAAGTAGGTCCTAGTAGCGATTAGCCTGGTCCTATTCGGTTAATAGGCTCACTGGATCTCAAGGGTCCCGAGGTTCGTTCGGAAAATATACCACCTGGGCAGGTTTATATATCCGTCTCGGAGTGTCCTACACTGGCACGAATTTGCCAAGCGGGTGAACAACCTCAGAGCCTCGAGGGCCTGGCATGCTCCTGAAACGTCATTCAAGGTTCAATGTTTAGTTTATTAGCTGAAGACATCATAGATTCAAGCTACCAGTGAAGCCCCATGGTTCCATAGGTAAAACTTCAGGCCGAAACAACCCCGGAGCAGAGAATTCCAGTCGAGTGGAGATTATTCATTATTTCGTTCAAGTCGTGACATATCTACTTCGAGTTCGGCGGAAACGGCCACACCTGCGTTGCAGACTCAGCATCCATATCCTTGCTCACCGTCTGAACAAAATCCTCGTGCAACTCTTGATTCACTTTGGCCATGTCTTCCCATTGATCACTCGCAATCCACCCAACAGAATTTGTCGGAAGCTTGTCCCGCACAATGTCCTCTACATCAAGCGAGGCGATCAACTTGTCTTCCTGCTGTCGCTGCCGCTGAACTTCAGCCTCTGTGACCGGAAAAGGACAAGCCCCAGGAAGCCCAAGTGCAGACCAGTTCTCAAATAATTGGTGGAGTCGGTTGCGGAGTGGGGTTATACTCCCAGAGCCTTGTATCGTGCAAACCTCGAAGAGGCGCCACAGCTTGCCGTCCACTTCGTATGGTTTGTTCATTTTCTTGATTTCCTGGCACCGCTTCATCTCGTAATACTTGGTTCTCGATGCCGTGTCTAGTTCTTTGATAACAGACTGCTGGGTTTCGGGACTCAAAGTATCAAAATCATACGGGCGAGAGTAAGTGTGCGCACCGTACGTGTAGAAACCAGGAGGTCGGACGAAATTTAGTAGGTTAGCCTGCATAAAGAGCGGTAGTACTTTGCTTGTCCGCCAGCCGATAAACCCTTCAATCTTGGTCGGATCTTCGAGCGAAACATAGATATCGTCCAGGTCTAACATGTCGTTTCGTAAGATTGGCTCTGATATGTCAAGCACACGTTGATCGCGTGAGAGAGTCCTCATCACGCCTTGCGCTTTCCTCAGCAGGTCCTCATATTCGGCAAGAGACTGGGACTTGTCGAAACTCTCCAGTCGTCGTTGAATTTCGGGGGCCGTGCTTTCATTTTCGATAAGCGCAAGCTCACGTTGCGTGATCGCATGCCCATACTCCGCAAGAGTCAACCCTGTGAGTGGGTCAAGGCAATTAGCAAGTCATCCTCTTGATGGCATCCGTCCACTCGGATGTTTTATTTACTTACAAGGCCCAGTGTCTACAATTTTGGCCTGAGTGCCATCTCCGTTCCGAGTATACCACCAGTCTGAGTCGAAGCATGGTCCAATAGCACAATGCCCGTCGGGATCAAGTGATAAATGCAATGGGTGTGTGCGGAAATCCACCTGCAATAGAACTTGGGGAGAAAGACTGCCGTACGCCGGGAATTTGATGTTTGCAAGCTCCTTTTCCATCTCCAAGACTTGATCAATCATCTTCATTTGATCCAGGCTGTTCATAGAGCCCCATTTTTGCGTCAAGGGGACCCCCCTTCATCTTCTCCATGAGAATGTATTCTGCACCAAGCTTTTCCTCGTCACACTCGAGACAGTACACTTCCGGAACTCGGATGGATGTCATTCCATCCACTAGGGAATAAATATCAGACAAAGAGAAAACAGGTCATATAATGCGAGAAATTGGTACATACGGAATGCAAGGGTAGTAGCCTCCGAAATCGTCGTCATCATCACCGGACCGGTGATTGGACATTTGACCTTCGCTATAATCTCCTTCTCATCGTCCATGGTCAAAAGGAAGACCCTGCTATTCAAAGAAGGTATTTTGTCAACACGAATAACCTTGGTCCCATCTCCAACGTCTTCGGCAGCACGGCGACATAGTTCGTGGACATCAAATTTGACGTAACGCAGTTCTTGATTGAGGTCATCGCCAACCAACCACCGACCTTCAGTATATCGGAAGAGCTCTTTCGATGTGATCTTAATATCTGGAGAATTGAATTTTGGTGAACATTGACAGAATGAACGATTTGACCTGGCTATGAATGTCTTTGTGAACCCATGTTGAACCGCAGCTTGACCGTAGCCCGGGTTCAAGCTTGCATTTGAATACCTGATGGTAGATCGAACTGAACTTGGTAGACTCAATCGAGCCAAAATTTCGGAAAGCCAATATTGACGCGTGAAATGATGAAAAATTGACACTCAAAGGTGAAGTGAAGTAGGGGCCAAACCAAACAGGCGCCCCAGTAAACATGCACGTCAGCACGTGACCATATATACATACTGTAATTCACTGGCAGGACCAGCTAAACATGTCAAGTAGGTCGGATTTTATTAGAATAAGATTAAAAACCATGGAATTAAGTAAAATGAAATATACTAAGTCATGGAATACTATACTGTGACACGTGTAGTCAGCTCAGCGCGGCATATCAAGGCTGGTCACTGGTGCACAAGCCACACTACGGGCTACGCCACCACAAACACGATTCTTTGTGCTATAGTATCATGGATTGAATATTATTTCGATGAATGAGGTTGGGAGTAGACCTAAACGATATGCGAAACAGCTATCTTTATATCAAAACAAAAGACCAGCATGTATAGCTAGGCAATGGCAAGATGTCAGCCTCAGGCCTCAGTATACCGAGTACTTGCAAGGATAGCCCCATCAACTCTCTCTATCAAACATAACAGAAGTAGGATCCCAGCCAAAAATATCTCGATCACATGTCTCCGAGAGGAGATCACCATCAGTCATTAACATCCAGTCTAGCTCCGGATCAGCTCCCAGCGCCGCATTAAGATTACCATTAATCCCGGTGGATCTGTCAGGGGGTATAGACGTGGAAACTGGATCTCGGGCTGATGTTCGGGCACGTTTATTCGATGGCCATGTAATACCATCAGCCCGTCTATACATTTTCCCCGAGCGTGTCCGCACTTCCCACTGATGCTGTAAGGTAACGAGTAAATCCTTCGCACGTCTTGCATTCATCCAAGAAAGCGAGAACTCATCCATAGCCCGGAAACATGTACCCAGATGTGCGACTATGTGCGCCTTTGAATGTGAGGCATAGTTAGAAACGGCGGCGAAGAGTAGTAGGAGGACGGCGGAGGATGTTATGGAGACTGCTTTAACGTTGATACGACGTAGAGTGTATCTGGTTTCGTATAAAAGGAGGATCTTAGCGATTGAGATGGCGGATTGGATGCACATTTGTCGTGCATGAAGATAGCCTGGGCCCTTTGGTGGTTGTGGTTGGAGATAGCTCTTGGACATCCAGGGTCTGTGGGCGTAGATGATATTTTGATGATATTGCATGCTGTTATGGGTTAGAGATCTGGCTCTTGGAGTGCAACAAACGGGAATTTCCTTACTGTAGCAGTAGCACATGCGGAGGGTAAGGAGATGTATGGTCGTTTAGGTCAATTTGTAACGTTGGTGGTAGGTTAGCTTTCCATTTGCAGAGTTCTGCCACAATTCTTTCATTGAACTCTTGCATCGCGGATTTGTCAATCTTCGACGTTGTGTATCTTGAGACAATTAGTTTGTGTCTCATAGATTGAGGAATTCGGGGTTCTTACAAAACATATCCACATGGTGCCATAATTTCACAAAGAGAAACGAGTTGTTGACTAACCAGCCCTGTGCAATCAAGACCATCAAATAGCTGACTTAATGATGCGGGATTCTCGTATGGTATCCATTCCTGGGATTGATTACAACAGTCTTGAGAAGGCTTGCCAACTGTAACATCTTCCATATTTGTGCGGAAAGGCCTGCCGAGATGGAAGCCCAATTGGCTAAAAGGCATTAGTGCAAGATTCGATCAATGAAGAAATTCCCAACTCACTGGTCAACGGTATATGCAGCCCAGAAGACGGTTCGGCGGAGATCCGCATCGGCAGCGGAAATGACGCCTTTTAAAACGTGCGAGGACATATCAATGTGCAATGCGAGATCAAAAGAAAGACGGATTGCCATTCCTTGCCCTCAAGTCAGCACGGTGAATGTTTCCGGCAATTACTTTCCCACTCACCACTGTAAAGCCACCCTCGAGAGTCCATGCCATTCCCAATTTCGTGGCTGCTTAGAATAACCATCGCCTGAACAGTCGCCACACTCGGGAAATCTAGTTCAGCCTCAAGCAATGACCGAGCCCGATCTCCAAAAAAGTCCACCAAAGTCTTTGGAAACGTAACAAAACCTGGGTGGAATCTTGTTTCAAATGCGCAACCGATTGCACACCTGTTTAGCCTCTGGTCAGCAAGATAACTCAAACACCAGCGAGGCATCAAAACACCTACATCGCATTCCGCAAGGCCTCGGAGTAGAAAGAAGTATCCTCCATAGCGAACCATTTCTCTTTAGCATCTTCATACAACTTCCGATCAACAACATGAAACGACGGATCCTGCCAACTGAAATACAAACTGATCAAGTGTTCCTCAAGGTCGGAAGGTACTTCTTTATCAGCCTCGACTCGACCGGGACCATTGAAATCGCAACCCTGCATTCTGCGATGGGAGTCAAATGTATCTGAATGCGACATATCACGCAGATTGAATGTAGACGTTGGACCGAAAAAGTGAGTTTTGCCCCCTCGCCCGATCCGTAGCGTGCCGACTCGATCGGAAAGGTCATCGATGAGTCCTTCGATGTCGGCTGTAGTATTAGCATCGTCGACCAAGGTCGACCCATCTTCGCTTGTAGTCGGAGTGGCGGCAGTGGCTGTCGTGTTGACCGGTTGGGCCATCCCATCTAAGTCGAGACCTAAAGCATCGCGTTCAGAAGTCGAATCGATAAGTTGTTGCAAATCGGTGGGCGCGGACATTGCCGAGCCACCGTAGGCAAGGTCCATATCCCAGCTGCTGAGTATGCTTTCCGGGGTGTCTGCCGAGGGTGTCAATTTTCCCTGCTCGGAGGGCCCTGGCAAGGGAGAAGTCTGAGAAGCTGCTGGAAGCAAAGTCTGGTCGGGTGAAGTCGCAGTTGGGATCTTCGGCGGCGGAAGAGCTGCAGGAACAAGAGGTGGCCCCATTATATCTTGCGAATTTCCAAAGTCCAGATTAGGATCATTAGATAGAATAGGAGACATTTGTGGTTCGCAGGAGGGTTCGAGTCCGGAGGTCGGTTTGGTCGGTCCAAGAGCATTTAGAATCTCCTTCAATGCCGCGTCCTTGTCCTTAGGGCTCGGGGGAGGCTGTAGGCCATTTTGACAAATGAATTCTGAAAGTTGATCGACTCTTGCGATGAGCAAGTCAATGGCTATCCGAAGAGGAAGTCTAGGATCCAGAGTCAGATGCTGCAATTCACGCGCCGGGAGATAGGCTGTACTCACTTCCTTTTATCAACCGACTGGTAATGACAACTCCTACTCTTGGTTATGCAGTTTGAGCAAGTTGGCTCAGAGCCATCGCACTATTTGGGGGTAATCAGTCGCTGAACAGATTGCGGGGAGTGGAAGAGCTTTGCTTACCTTGATCTTGCTCTCCCGGCAAGGAACACAAGCCATAGAGGCATGCTTCCTTTTGGATGCAGTCTTTGGTGACATATTTTAATCGAATGGTCATCGCATAGTAAATTTACTACGCGGATATGCGCAAGTTGAGAAGTGACAGCTCGGGTGGCGTGGGGATTTCGCGGGGAAGCAAAGAGTGGCGGGGTAGAAGAACCGATAAGACATCAATAAAATATCTCGTGAAAGTCGGAGGGGATGCGATCCACGGGTCCTATTAGCCTCAATGGATTTGTTGAAGTCTAGCGACCTGCTGGCCAGTAGGAATTCGTGGAGAAGAAGATCTTCTCCAATAGGGGGGAATGATGCCAAGATTTCGGTCGGTGATTGAATTCCGAAGGATCGATAGATCGAGAATGACGTTGCGCTCCGGATTTACCCCGAGTTTTAGTGTTTGAGTGTTTCTTTCCTCACGGTTGATTTAAATTTGCTGTGTGGCCTGGATGGAAATTATATGCGTAAGAGTATCTCTACTAGTATGTACATAAGAACAAAATGACAGGATATGGATGCAACATCAGCCACGCTATGAAAAACGACACCAGTAAGTCACATGAGGAAAAAATAGGGAACGACACGGTAGTATATGCATTTTCTGCTGAAATTAAGGCCAACGCAGCCGAAGAGATTAGTCATAAGTCACCATAACTTGACGGTTGACGAGAATATCAGCCTGGCCAGGCTTTTGTCCATTTTCCAGGATGTCCTTCTGGCTATCACCATCACTCAAGCTGCCACGCGGGCCGTGATCAACTTCGGTGGTAGTATGGTTAAGGTTTTTCCCGCTCTCGAGCTCGTAGTTACGCGAGAACATCGCACCTCCACTACGGGAGCCACTGAAGCCGGGAGATTGGTGGTAGTTGTTATAGTCGGAGGTCTTGCCGTCGCGGAGGATGCGGAACAGCGGACGGAGGGTTGCAATGTTGCCGACCATCATTCCGATACCATTTTCTGCGAATCCCCAGATAACAACGTTTGCGACTTCGAAAAGGTAGTCGGTCTGGCTGGTGAGGGCGACTGTGTATTTTAGGCGGATACATGCTGATAGTGATGCACTGGATTAGAGAGAAAATATTAGTCAATGCTGCGTGAAATTTGGAGACTAGGGGGAAACGAACAAAATTCCAAGGCCCATCAGTCCAATGATCGAAATTTTCGTGTTCCGATTGATCTGCACGTTCCAAAGCAAAGGCACCGGCCTGCGAAATTATTAATTCCTTATCGCTCACATAGTGCAGATGGGACGTGGCAAGGACTTACAGGAAAGCAGTCACCCAGTCAGTAAAGATGTTGACGGCGGTACAGGCATAGTAAACGTCGGCGAGAACATAGCTGGGTTGGCAGTGGCCACCATTTTTGAGGAGTTCCGTATCCCAAGCGGCTCTAGTATTTAATTAGTACGTTTCTTCCGTATGGTGTCTGCATGGGGTCATACTCGACGGGAATACAGTTGATCAGAATGAAGATCAACGCGATGATGTTCATCAAAACGAACATGGTAATGACGACGTATTGCACGTAAACATAGATCTTTCGTCCCT